CTCTAAATTGGCAACATAACTTTTCCAGTATATCTGCACATTTACCTTGGCAGTTAGGGTTATGCAAATCCTTTAAAGGAAGGGTTTTTCTTTGTAATGTGTAGGAATATGTAAGAAGCATTTGTCTTTGACTCATTAAGGCAACTTTTTCCCAACATGCACTATTTCATAAACTTCTCCTAGCTATGAACTTATGCATATGCATTCATACCCACTTTATTCCTCCCCCCCCCAGCAAAATGAAATAATTGTGTATATACCAGCAAGCAAAGAGTAGAGAACAACTTGGAAATACCAAATAAGATTGAAGAAAGAGGAAGCTGCTTTAATTAGTCAATGAACAGGATTTCAGCGCTCCTGTGTGTTCCAAAGCCCCTCTTTCACAGGATCTTCATAGGACTAAAAGCAGTGATTTTCAGCTAGTGCTAATTTTGGTGCTTTCATTTTGGGAGGATAAAAAGAACATGTACAAAATTAGTATGAATATAAAGACATTTTAATGTTCTGATGTTTATATCAAATACTCCGTCACATATTTTTTACATACAGTATCTTATAAACATAGTTTTAACACAACATATACAAAATTGCACATTAGAGATTACAGAGTCATAAATGTAATCTTTTTTTTATGTAAACAATTTCAGCACAAGAATGTTATACATTCCAGAACGCTCATATCTCCCACTTTTTCATGTCACTTCAGTCTCCATTAATTATTCTGGTTAGAAAGTGATAAAAACCAGAGAATGTCCACATTATTCCCTACAGGCAGAGATGCCCTATTAGTTATACATAAAAGGCAAGTCGCCTTTTAGTCGTAAGTGCTTAACACAAAGATTTGAAGATCTAATCCTGTTCCCGTGAAGTCATAGACAAAAGATCCACTATTTGCAACAACAGCAGGTTTGAAATTAGCATTGCAAGATTTCCAACTGTTGCACTGAATAAAAATATCCACAAACTCAGTTCATAAGGAAACAAAAGCTATCTGCTCCTTGGCAGTATAAATTTGGAGTATTCTTGTAAACATGGATTTAAATCACCAGTCAATGAAAAGGTGTAGCACTTTATTTGCTCAATCACTCACTACACTAAAGTAAGATACACACTTAATCAAGTAAAATTATGTGTTTCTTTAAAAAGATGTGTCAATAATAATTAAACACCTTTTAGTTCTACGCATTATGAACATTATGAAAAAAACACATGACCTGAATGCATTTTTACTGTCCTGTATTTTATGTTTCATATACCATTCCATGCAAACGTTTCAATGCCAGAAAAGCAAACCAAAGCTGGAAACTGTGAATGAAAATTTCACTATTAACATGTGAGTTCACAATCCAGTGCACTTACTTGAAGAAAGTCACTATGAATTAAATAAAGCTTACTTCTCTACAGACAAGTACTGTATTCATTTCTGCAACTCTCTCCTGCTACTTCTATTAAACTGGAGGTTTTGTTTGCAACTACTGACTAATGCCCTTGGGCATTAGATGTAATATCTGAAGACAGTCTTTACAAAGCAGTAACTGAAACCACTTTCTAGTTTGGTTCTGAATATATTCTCAGAACATCAACCTTCATAAATGCATCTTCCCTCTCTACATTTCAAAATCTGACAAATCTGAAGGCCACCTAGAAGTACAATCTAAAATAAGCAATACAGTAGGATGCTCCTCAAATAAAGCCAACAGGCTTCCTACAGTACAAAATACACATATAGAATATATATTCAATATATCTCTTTGATTCATCTGTCAGGCTACTCTAGGAAATAAAAGCAGAGCAGGAACAGAAGAATGCCAGATTAAAGAAAAAAGTTATTTAAAAAATAGCTGAGTTTGAAATAGGGGTAAACTATTTCAGGCAAGGAGCCACAAAATATTTCCAGTGCATTATCCAGAACTGTGCCCAGTGGTTACACCATAAATTTGTAAAAGGCATTATGACATTGGCAGTTTTATAAATGGTTTCCTTATTCCCACCACCAATACAGAATTGGCTATTTTGATGAAAACCGCAAACTGCCAAGATTTTCAGTGAGCTATCACAACCCTAAGATATCTTTCCTTATTAGTCATCAGCTCAAATGTATGTGCAGTTGGAATGTGTGTGTGTGTGTGTGTGTGTGTACGTGTACATCGCTGTAAAGTTGCCTACATTTAATGGAATGTGCTATTTCAGTGCCCATTTGGAGAAAGCTTTTTAGAATGCTTTGCTGTTTGGGTTTTTTTTTTTTTTTTTTTGTACTGTTTGTTTGAACAAGTCTAAAGAATTTGGTGTCCTCCGCAATCACTTTCACCTCTAGTTTCAGATCATTTGTGACAGTGGTTCTCAACCTGTGGGTCGGGACCCCATTTGGGGTCGAACGACCATTTCACGGGGGTCGCCAAACAATGCAGTCCGCCATTTTTTTCCCCCTTTTCCTTAGCTATGCTACTCCCTTTTATTCTATTGGCTTTTGAAAACCAATAGAATAGACTCTCTTGAAGAGAGTCTAATTCTATTGGCTTTCAAAAGCCAATAGGAATTGTCCAGGCTGTCTCTGCCCTGCTGAGCCCACCAAAAGTCCCATTCTGCAAACGGTGCTGCACCAGTTGAGTAGTCCTCGACTTACGACCGGTTGAGTAGTCCTTGACTTATGACCAGTTGGGAGTTGTTGTATTAAAAAGGTTGAGAACCACTGATTTATGAAGTTAAGAACCAGTGGTTCCAAAACAGAAGTCTGGGGAGGTCAATTTCCCCTCAACCTTTTTATCCTCTTGCTATGAGGAGTATCCGTTTATTTTGATTCTCAGTCTTGCAACAGTCTCTGAAAGGACCATCTCCCTTAACCATTTCTTTAATAAGCCCATGGTTTTTACAATTCACAGCTGCCACCATATCACAAATGGTAATTGCTGAGCAGTTAAGAAACAACAGAATCCTACAAGTCCATTTGCTTCCTTCACTGTATGATCATATCCTGCAGTTAGTGTTTTTGGAGTTACTCTTGGTCTCTTATCTGACCTTTAACTGCAGTACGATCATGGCAGGACTTTCTGCCTTCGGATAATACTTCACAAACTTTAAAACAAACCCTGTCTCATATATATATATATATATATATATATATATATATATATATATATATATATATATATATATATATATATATATATAGTAATATATATATATATATATATATTACTAATTTTGTTAAAAATACGAATCCTGGGTATAGTCATATTATAAAAACAAACAAACATGAACACCAGGAAAAAAATTTTAAACTAAAAACGTTTAATCTAGTGCCAAGCTTTCGTCGGCCAACTGCTAACATCATCAGGGCTTAAAACCGGTCAATGGGAGTCTCCTTTATAGTGCTAGTCAGTTTGTGCACACGGCTCCTGGACCTCGTCATATACATACATACACACACACACACACACACAGACACACACACACACACACACACACCATAAAATAATCCTAACACCAGGATAATACTAAAAACAAAACTGTTTAATTAAAAGCTGAGCCTTTCGTCGGTCAACACTACCGACATCATCAGAGCGTGATGCAAGATTGCTAGGAGTCCTTATGCTGCTGGGTGACTTTGCACTCGGCTCCATGACCTAGTTACCGGTCCATCCGTTCTCTCCATCTGGTTTCTTAAAGGGCCTACGTCCTTTATTGTGTTAGTGCCCTCTGAGGTTGCTGTTTCCTTTCTCCTGGATCCAACCACTCTCCGTTTCTGCTCGCCCACTCTCGCGTCTGGAGAAGGACTCCCAGCAATCTTGCATCACACTCTGATGATGTCAGTAGTGTTGATTGACGAAAGGCTCAGCTTTTAATTAAACAGTTTTGTTTTTAGTATTATCCTGGTGTTCAGATTATTTTATGGTATGGATTTACCCAGTATTCGCATTTTTAGCATAATTAGAGACTATATATATATATATATATATATATATATATATATATATATATATATATATATATATATATATATATGTAGGTTTTCGCGGGTATTTGTATATAGGTCTTTTGGTTGTTCGGGTTTTCTCCCGCGTAAAATTGGAAGTGTCTTGGCACGTTTCGACGAAGTCACATTCGTCATCTTCAGGCTGGTGTTTTTAAACGCCCACACAGCATGAACAAGCGAGATGATACCTCCCGCCTACCAGCCATTTGGAAACCTGCCCTTATTGACAAACGACTCCCTAACCCCAAAATCTTAAACCCCTCTGCAACTCAGACTAACCTGAGCACAACCAAACAGAACACTCCCCCAGCCAATCAGAGCACAGCCAAGCCCCTAACCATTCAGAACACACCTCCACCCAATCAGAACACAGCCAAGCTCCCATCCAATCAGTTCATACCCTCACTGGCAGTTAAAAGGAAGAAACAGCTAAACCACACATTGCTGCTCAAAGCAAGAAGCTAAAACACCAGCCTGAAGATGACGAATGTGACTTCGTCGAAACGTTGCCAAGACACTTCCAATTTTACGCGGGAGAAAACCCGAACAACCAAAGACCTATATATATATATATATATATATATATATATATATATATATATATATATATATATAAATGTTTTACTGATTTTCTAATTTTACATTTAAATATTCAAAAAGCAACGTGGCATCTGGGCCAATCAATAATACAATAATATACAAATATATTCAGTACAAATCTCAAGCTTCCACATCCATTTTTCCCTCTTTTCCCCTCAGTATTCATGGTCTCATTCTTAGGTCTGAAGCTAAGTGGCAACACTAGCAAGATACGAAAGGCTTAACTTGCACGCTTGTTTTAAAGGCACAGGAATGCCCCTTTCCTATGATTTGCTATCACTTGAAATGGCATTATTCTGGTACTGTGTCAAATACTTCATTTGAATATATTTGTAGTTATGGTGGCTTCAGGTAGACTGCATTGTCATCGGCAATATTGTCATATCTCAGAGGGCAGAATTCATTAAGAAAGCAAGGAAAGATAGACTAATTGGGATGCTGGTATTTATTTTCAGAATGAAATGAGACCACCACTCCAAATTTTAAGCAACTACAAAATTGCTCAAGTTGTTTGGTAATGCATTAATTTCACCTAGACACAAATCATATGTTGTTGTTTTTTCCTGCAACTGCATTACGTTCTTGTTATTAACTCCAAATTCAACCCTTGATATGTTTTCTTGAACACATACATGAACATACTTTTTCATTCTCAGGTGGCTGGATTATCTTATTCTTCTAAAACGTGACTTTTCTTGCTCCTAAGCATGGAAAACAGTTCATTTGTATTAAATTTCAGAAAAAGACCTACACATTACAGGTTAATATGTAGGTCTCTTCAACTATGTTTTTTTATGACACATGACTTCACCCAAGCAGTTTCAGAATACTTTCCTATACGGGGCTCTATGACATAATAGTGTGTACTAATCAATCAGTGAAGACCAACAGTCAAAGATGGGAATTGGAAGCTGGAGGTCCTTAAAGGGTGTGATTCTATGCATATATCTTTACCAATAAATCTTCTTTAATGTTACCTAGGAATGCTAAGATTAAAGAGGAAAGAGTAAAAATATCAGTGTTATGCTTTTCTTAGAGAAACAAGGCATCTGCTTTTTATTTTAAACCATTAGCTTTGATTTGTTTCAAAGCAGTATAGTTACCATGAGATATTCCAGGAATTCACTATTAAAGCTTATCAGGAACAGCAGCCCCTCTGGAAGCCATGCTGAGTTAGCTTCAGTTAAAAAAAGGTTACAAGTGTACTACTAATTTCTACTACTCAATCTCAGTAGACTACTCCTGATAGAGACATTTTAGATAGTATCCATGTAATAACTGCATTACCTAACACAACAGGCATTATTTATCTCTCATGTCAAGTTTCCAGTTTATATTTCAAACTGCACAAAAGATTAAAATGGTGCATTATCTAAGGGGGATGGCTCACATTCCACCTAGCAGGTTCTTAGAGAACTTGAGTATTGCTTCCAAAAAGGAAAATATAACTCAAGCTCATCTGAACAAATTGCCTGAAGACATCATATATAACACAGGTTGGTTAACTATTATATAAACTTCCCTTGCCCCAAATCTTTCAGATCTACAAAACTAATTCTGTCCTCCACCAAACTGCCAAATAAGCATTTTCAAAAGTAATCGTACATAGAAACAGTCTTAAACCTTAAATTATACTATTTTTTAAACAATACGCTTAAAAACGCAAAAGACAAAAATTATATGATTGCGTATGAATGTCTGACTGCAAAAATTACAGCTAGTTATCATGTTAAATACCTCTGATCAAAGGAACAGGTGTTTATTTACAGTACAACTGCTCAACAGTGGGGAAATACTGACAACAATTAACACAGCAAACACATATTGAAGTTTATTGAGCAACAGAAATATTGTCAGACTCAAACAGATTCAGCTTTGCAACAGAAAGCAAGAAATTACAGTAATAGGCCCCAAGGCCTGTGTTTGATTTTTACATCCTTCTGTTAGAAATATATATTATTAAAATGCTTTCTGGCAACAATATAAAAAGCTAAACAATGCTCCAAGCAAAATTTAAGCACTTTTATATTGCAGTGCTTTCCATGGCAAAATTAAAAAGATCCTCTGACTGAAATAATTGGATTTAGACATATATGAATTTGCTTGACATTTGCCCTAATGTCTTTTAATCCTAATACATTTAATACTAAAAAAAAGTTCTACAACTTCCAGGACAAAATACACTATTGTAATTAAAGCCAGTGGTCTACTAACATTTCAAATGAAAAAGAAGCTATTCAGTCAAAATTGTCAAGCTAACGGTGGATTTCTCATAAAGCCAACAACAATTTTCTTATAATGAATAAAAACCCTGCTGGAAAAATTTGCAGTGTTTTACATCAATCCCTACAAAACCTATAATGAGGGGTGTTTTCAGAGTAAGTCCACACCTGAATGTATGTTTCTATCAATGACAAGCATTCTAAAATAGGACCAAAAAATGATTCCATTGGTAAGTTAAAAAACAACCGTTGGAAGAGTCGTGAGACAGCATCACTCACCAAGTTAGCAACAAAATTAGTCAGCCTTTTTAGCCATAAAATCACCTGAGTGTTCACATGATCTGGAGAAGTGCATAAGAAAACCAGCTGCCAAACAAATCTTCCTGTTACTCAAGGATAAGATTTCAAATCTCCCAAAGACATCCTTTTTCTTGTAACGAGAAATTTTATGTCAGTTTCAACAATGGACATCACCTGAACCACCAACAATATTAGAACAGGATATTTGCCTAATTAATTCTTAAGACAGGTGAGTATCATTTAATCTAGACTTTGAGGGAATGGGTTGTTTTTATAAATACTTAAAGTGCAAGAGACAAAGTATATAAAAACAAATCAAATAGGTCTGTAATAGTAGTTCAGAGGCACATGCAAAAAAACCCAACAGTAATCAGAACAAATGAGAAAAACATAAGGATGAAATTTGCATAAGGATGAAATTTCTTCCATTGGGAATAAGTATGTTCCCAGCAATAAGGGATATTCAACCAACAAATGATGCAGCATGTAAACAGGATTTCAAAGACATTGGCAGATAAGTTATATAGTACATGAAAAAAAATACAATATTAAAAATTTGGCATCCAAAAATTGTGTCCAAAATACATTCTTAGAGAAATCTTCATGGGAAAAAGCTTCAAAAACTGTATACATTGGCAATATTTGCCAAATAGGCTACAAAAAAAGGCAAACAATTTAGAATACTGCAGATATTTCAAGCACACCATGTTTTTGGCAAAAATTGTTACAACATACATACAGCATTATCAAGATAATGAGTTATCTGGGTGCCAAGATCGAAGCAGATTCAGTTATGATGTGTCTTTTTTTTGTAGAAATTAAGAAATAGGCTGCTGTTTTTGAAGTAGGAATAATGATTTCTCTAAGCACCTTTTCCAAAATGCAATATTCCAGAACAACTTACCTGAGAAATTCTTCTATTTCAGTATTACATCTTCTAGAGAAAAATTGAAAACATCTGATTTTGAACTGTTAACAAAATTGGAAAGAAAATTATTCACACTGATGAGGACTGTGAAATTACTAGGATAGATTTGCATTCCAAAAAAGAAAAAAAAATCACATATGGGGGGGAAAAGACAAAGAATATATTAGTAAAGTATCTTTGTGAATCAATACAAGATGGTTTAATCAAATTAATGTAGATTTTCTTCACCAATTTTCCCTCTACTCCTAAAATGCCAAGATAGATTATTTCACACTTGCAGTGATAGGATTCCAAATCAAAAAGCTCCTAATTGCCATTTCTTCTGAAAATATGATTCCCTCATAGGCATCCATCTAAGTCTAGGATAAATATCAACCTAGTAATCAAGCAGAGTATGTCAATAATCCAGCATGAAAGAAAAATCAACTGTGCCTCAGTATCTTTTTGACACAATATTTCCAGGCAAAGCAGAAGTTTTTACTGCATGGAAAGTTATAGCCAAAACAGAAAATAAAATCACAGGACATAAGAAAACTGCATTTGAAGAAAGATAAAAACTATTATCTAAATTTATACAATGAAATAGGTTGGTAGGGAGGGCTATCTTCTATGATAAACAGTTTGATAGGGTTACTGATAAAGCTGTCAAAATACTAATAAACATCCAAGCCCTTAAAAAAAAAAAACAAGCAAAAACAATGGTTATTTCTGATCCCATTTTAAAATAAAACTCAGCAAACCTTTCAAACTCTGCTTATAAATGTACTTTTCTCATCTCCTATCCTGAGAACAACATTTTTAACGTTTTGGACAAAATAAAATAGCTTCTATGTAGTTCTTCTAAAAATATACAGCTATCTACATTTCTATTAATTTTTTCTATGAATTATTCAAAACATAATTGAATTAAGTGATTCATCTTTTTAAAAAAAATCCAATTTTTTTTTCTCTGTATAGCACAGTAATTGTGATCATACTGGGAACAATTACAGCTGGAATGTGTACTGTAAAAGATAAAGCATTTGATATTTTTCTTCAAAAACAATTTATTTTATCCCCTTGCATGTTATAAAAATAAACATATATTCTATAGTTTTAATAAATAAGTGCACCCATGCCCCAACTTTGTGTTGGCACAGGAAATAATATAGAGCTCATAAATCTAAAGGTGAAAAGCATTTTCTTAAAATCTGCTTTTTAAATAAATATTTTATATGGCATAGTAGGCTAAGTCGCCAGCATCAGAAATGTGAAATTAGCTTGAATGGCAACATTTTCATAATGACAAATTATGTGACTGTTTTCTTTTGTTTATCAAGAAAATTACCCAGCCACATACTCTATAATTCTCTTCCTAAACATAAATTTAGTGTCTCTCAGGCACTGAGAAAATCCAGAGAACCTCTACAGCAAGAAAATAACAAATACTCTGTACACAAAATTGACTTAACTTTGCACAATTCTTCTCAGTGTTGAAAAACATTTCACAACTCTATCCACTGGCACTCTAGAACTGTTCTCTCTAAAAATATGATTTATCTACTGAAATGACTAGTAATATGCCTCATATACAAGCATATTACTATTCCCTTAATATCCCATCTTAGAAAATCCACACTGTTCATTAGAAAGCTGTAAATACACCTTCAGCAAAACATACTGGAGTGTCTTTAACCATCCCTGGTAACTTTTTTTTTTTTTTTGCAGAAATGCTAATACATATTACACTCAATGACCTTCAACCACAGAATAAAAATAAAATTTAAGACTCTCTAGAACAGATAAAAGTCTTCCACAAAGATAACTTTTGTCCACAGGTATGATCTTTGAAGAGACCTTTGGATTTCCATCAACAAGACATATTTTTTATGTCTAGTCAGCAAAGCTCTGGTTCTTGGTTTTAAGCAGGGCAAGAAAGCTAGAAAAAATAAGCTGGAGCTTTCCGAAGATCAACAAAGAATCCAGCCCCAGACTTCTTCACAGGTTGAAGGTGGTCAGAGGGGCTTCAGTTGGAGAAACTTGACACTTTCCCTCTGAAGAGTTCTCCAATTGCTTGGTACTTTTGAAAAGAACCCAGTAGCATTGCTTCCAACTGGTTATTAACAATTTCAGTATTATTTTCATTACTTAAGAACCCAGTAGCATTGCTTCCAGCTGGTTATTAACAATTTCAGTATTATTTTCATTACTTAGGTGGCTGGCAGAAAACCTGCTGATTGCTGGAGATGCTTGAAACTGCCAACCTTTGGTTAAGGATGACTATTGTTATTTTTAAGAAGTTTTTTCTAGAAAGGCTAACACTGAAGTCCCACTCTGTTCCATGGGATATTCTTTCTGGCTTATTTATCTCTCTGCCATTACACCAGGTTCTTCTCTGGCTCTTCCGACTACAATCAAAAACTGGTTAAGATACCTGTATGGTCTTGCAGAAGCGAACTCTTCCCCTGTCTACTTCAGCTTTTCAGACGAACGGGGGAACTCTGCAGAAGCCAAAGGATGTGAAAGGAAAGGCAGGGCTTCCATGGCCCTTCTTCAAGACCATGAGATTAAGGTCTAATCCCCTTTCTGCCATGCATGGCAAAGTTGGGTGCATGATGGGTCTCTCCTTGTTTGGGGGGAGTCACACGCCTCAGCAAGCACTGGTCTCCGGCTTTGTAGGTGCCTCCCTGCCGGGGGGCTGACCCCCCACTGCCATGGTCTGCGCAGGGGCCGCGGCGGCGGCGTTGATGTGGCAGCCGCTGGAGAGGTGGCTCCGGACTCGACCTTGCAGCTGGGTGACCTGGGAGCGAAGAAGGCTGGCGGTAGCTGCCAATTCGGCGTTTTGGCCTTTGAGCGCTTTGACTTTCTCCTCCAAGCGGGCGATGCGCTCCAGCTTGCGCCGGCGGCACTTGGAAGCGGCGATACGGTTGCGCAGTCTTTTGCGCTCCGCTTTCAGGCGCTCTTGGCTCTCCGCATCCAGCGGCGATAAGGAGGAAGGCGGCGGAGGGGACTCCCCGGACGAGAGCCCCGAAAGAGGCAAAGGCGGCGGCGGCGGAGCTGACACTACAGGAGCTTCCGGTACAGTCTGCGGTTCCTCCAAAGCCCTGCCGGTCGAGCCGGGCGCGGGCAGACGAGCCACAGGCTGGGGAGCGAAGAAAGTGCCGGCGGCCGATGGGCTGGCCGGGTTGAAGTTGCCTAAGGTGGTGTAGACGGCGGGGGGATCCTGCCTGGACGATGGGCAGCAGGGCCCTCCCGGGTGCTGGGTAGGCGAGAGAGGCGCCGGGGACACCCCGAGCAACTGGTTCTGTTTGTGCAAATCGGCCAGAGCTTTCACGAAGCCGTCGGCGAAGCCCTCCTGTTCTTGCGTCACCGCCTGCGGCGGAGCCGAGGGCTGCGGAGACCGGTACAAGAAGGGCGCCCCGCCGGCCGCCGCCACCACCGAGGGCCCTCCGCCGGTGGGGCTGGATGGGCCGGCGAGGCCCGGGCTGCCCGCTTGGATCAGCAGTTGCTCCAAGTCGGCGGCCGCCGGCAGCTTCAGCAAAGGCTGCAAAACGGCTGGGCCCACCTCTGGGCCGCCGCCACCGACGGCCGTCTCCTGAATGAGGCGGTGCACGGCGCTGCTGGTGCCGCCGCGGGGGCGCAAGAACGGCCCGGCCGGGGGCAAGGTGGCATTACCCGGGGAGGCCGCCCCTAAATCCCGAGGAGGAGGAGGAGGCTGCTGCTGCTTCCCGGCGAGGAGCAACTTGCGTTGTTGAACCGCTCCGCTTTCCTCGGGCGGTTCAAGTCCCGTCGGTCCCCCCGCTCCGGGCCCGCCACCGAAGCCCGGCAGCTGCACGAAGTCCGGGAGCAGCTCCAAGCCTTCTTCGCCGTAGTAAGGGGCTACCTCCATCTTCACGGCCACGCGGGCGCCAGTGCGTCCGCCGCCGCTGTTCATGCTGGGCGGGACGGCGGCGGGTTTGGAGTGGCCGCGGCCCCCGCCGCCGCCAGTCCCCCAGGTCTGTCTGGCTTCCAGAAAGAGAAACGACGCGGTCCCGGCCGCGAGCTCCGCTTCCAGCGCGGCGACGGGCTGCAGCGAGTTTTTCACGCCTGGCGCCGGCTCTCCATCTCCCGGCCGCTGGGCAACCGCCCGGGGCTCGGCGCTTTCGACTTGCGGCTTTTCGGGGGAGAAAACTCTTTTTTCCCTTGCAGGCAGAGGAACTGATGTCAAAATGCCTCGCCCTAGCAACTCCTGCTACTCCGCCTTTCTTGGCTGGGGCTGCGGCGGCCACACGGCCCTCTCGGTTCAGCAGCGGAGGGCGGAGCGACGAGAGCCGCGTCGCCTGGTTCTGTCTTCCTTTTCTCTCTCCTCTCCCTTCTTGCCGGATAAATAAAACGCAGTCGCAGGAGAGGCGAGCGGCGCTTCCCGCCGAGGCTAGTAGAGAAACCCAAGCGAAAGCTCGCCGCGAAACTTTATCGCTCACTGACGTTGCACTGCGGCAGGGGCGCCTCGGGGTTCCAACTAAGTCGCGCAGGCTACCAGATTCGCCTGAAAACTAGGGGCAGGAAGGTGCCTGTTCTCTCCCCCCCCCGCCCACCCTAAACTTTCAGAGCAGCAGTCCGATGGACGGCGCGATAAACGGGCAAAGTAAAATTGCTGCAAAGGGTAAGTCGTCGTAGCCGAACTGCTGTGACGTTGTTTAGCCAGAAAAAAGAAAAGAAAAGAAACCAGCGACCCCTAATCTGACAGTTTCTTCGTCTTCCTTAAGGGCCTTCCTGCTTTCATCCTTCTTTCGAGAAAATGCTTTTTTCCGCTTTTGAAAAAAAGGCCTTTCCCTTACAAATACAGAGCGACTAGAAAGAGAACGCAGTGTGTGTGTGTGTGGGGGGGAATACTGGAAAGTCCGGAACTTAACGACCACAATTGAACCCAACCTTTATGCTTGCTGAGTGAGAATTTTGTTAAGCGAATTTTGCTCCATTTTACGGCTTTCCTTGCCGTTTTGTTAAGTGAATCACGGCAGTTGTTAAAACTAGTGACGCGGTTGTTAAGTGAATTTGGTTTCCCCCCCCCCCTTGACTTTGCTTGTCAGAAGATTGCAAAAGGGAAATCACATGACCCTGGGACAGCCACAAATATGAGTCAGTTGTCAAGCATCTGAATATAGATCACGTGACCGTGGGGAGGCTGCAATGGTCATAAGTGTGAAAAATGGTCATAGGTCACTTTCTTCAAGGCCATTGTAACTTCGAATAGTCACTAAATGAACTGTTGTAAATCGAGGACTACCTGTAGGAATTAGACTACTTACATTCAGCAAGGAGGTGTTGCCAATGAGCTTTTCCCAATGTGCATATAAGCACTAGACCAGGCATGTCAAACTGCTGGCCCATGGGCCAGATGCCTCACAACGAAACCGCGCCCACCCCATTGCCAGCAATGTGGAAAAAGTCACAATACATCGTGCAACGTCACGTGATGTTGCGAGTTTAACATGCCTGCACTTGACAAACATTATCTGGCAATTCTATTTTGCCAGATAATATTGCTTCTATCGCAACCTCAAACCATGCCTGAGATAGCCATAAGTTATCTTTACCTGTTGATAAAGAGGCATTTCCTCCCTTAAGCCAAAACATCCCACAAGAGTTTTAAGATAGGCAAAAAAAAAAAAAAAGTCTTGCTCAGGTTAAGCCGGTTCTTCCCTATCCAGATCCCCACAACTTCCAGGCATTTGAAATAACCTTGAGAGATCACTTTTGGGCAGGCTGTGGTAAAGCCACAATAGACAATCACCAGCATATTGATGCCAAGCATTAAGAATTATTTCATCCAGCACCTTTATATTGATATTAAATAGGAGTGGGGAGAGAGTCAAACACTGAGGCACTCTGAAATGCAAGAGTCTAAGTCTGGACACCATCAACACCAATTGTAGCCACTCCTGGAGGAAGGAGAACTACTTACTGTAAAGCACTGCCGTCCACTCAAAATTCAGGTGCTTGGCACATGGCATGTATTTATGATGGTTGCAGTGTTCTGAGGTCATATGATCACCTGTTGCAATCTTCCAGCAAGCAAAATCAGTGGGGAAGTCAGATTCACTTAATAGCTGGGTTACTAACATAACAACTGTGGCAAGAAATATCTTAAAATGGGGCAGAACTCAAGTAGCAACTGTCTTGCTTAGCAACAGAAAGGTTGGGCTCAATTGTGGTCATAAGTTGAGGACTATCTGTATTTCATTTTATGCCCCTATCAGAACATCCAGATCACACTGCAAAAATTCAGGGGTAAACGTATTGATTTAGGGGAAGACAATTTCCCATTTAACACTCCCAATCTAACCCAAACTTTGTGGCCCCATTCCACTTATATTGTTGCATCACTGGCCACCCACTCCTCCAACTCTGATTAGCTCCTAAAATCAAAAGTGGACTTCATCTGCAAAATATTTCTTTTTGGTTATTGTCTTGAACGAATGACATCACATTCTGTGCATTAAGGTTTGTTATTGAAGCTTTCTCAGAGCTGGTATTCAATTCATCTCTTCAGCCAAAAGAGTTGCTTCAGTCAGTGGAATATGGAAGAGATAATTCCACATCTACAGAACTTACTAGCCAAAGATGCTGGGGAATCCTGTGTTAATCTTATAGGAAAGGAAAGTCTAATGTGCAACGTAATAGTTGAATCAACTTATTTCAATGAGTATACTCTGATTGACTTAATCTAGATCTATTCCACAGACTACTGTGCACTTTATTAGCTAAAGGCAGTTTTGAAACATGTCAAGTAATAAAATTGCTCAGATGAATTTAAAACAATTGTGAGATTATTCTGTCCAAGACATTGTAACAATGAACTGAACAAAGGCATCCCTGATCATATGGCTATCTTTATATATATATGGCTATTCAGATATGTTGGCTACTACAAAAAAAGTAAACCTGTAGCAATCTGCTTTCTTCCCATCTTTGAGCCAACAGAAAAGCATGCCAGTGTAGACAACTCTGCTCCACAGCTTGCCTTTGCTATGCATTGATAACAGGTCTGGCCAGTGTTGCAGTCCACACTTTTTCAATTGAAGGAGTAAACTGGTGGCTTTCCTTTCCTGTCCCACCTAAAATTTTCCACCAGCAAGAAAACCAACCACTAACTGTTCCTGTGAATGGGTGGTGAGGCAGGATTCCATATTCATTTTTATTGTTTACTTTTGTCCTACTTTGCTAGACTTTCATTGTTAAGCATTGGTGATAGAACAAAAAACAAAAAACACTTGATGTTCAACCTCCAGAAGAGAAGACCTGCAATGGAAGTGAACACTTGTGAATAACATGGATAGGCACTCTTGTATCACAAATTCTGAAGGTTTCTCCTGTTGTCAACAATGAAGGTCATCTTACTGGTGGTGTCCTGGTCAGAAGATGAGATCTAAATTGTCATAGTTTCTTCTCCTTCTTCCTATGAATAGTAGAGATGAATGAGGTTTTCCAGGTGTTATTTACCCACAAAGAATTGAAGTTCCCCATGTTCTTCTACTATCCAAGGAGAAGTCTCTAAGTGCCTCTTCTGGCTTTTTTTCTTGAATAGGAACATAGAATACTTCTCTCTCACCTTAATACATCATGAGCCCTTCCTAAAACTAGAACAAAATTGAAACAAACTGCAATTTTGTTTCAATCTGGCATGAATTCATTCATCCCAGGCCCCCCTTTTAAGTAGTTACTCCTATGAACATATTTTAGGAAGTACCCTTATTAAATATACCCAGATTCACACTTCTTCAAAATTGATAGGGAAGTCAAATCTTTAAACATGCAGCAAATGGGAACAATCATCTGTATGTTTATTTTATAGAATGAGCTTTTCCAATTGCAGATCTATCCATCCGTACAAATGCATACATAGTCACATATATAGTATATGCATACATGCTCACACACAAACTGTTTTGCAACCACACTGTACAGCCAGTTCTATGTACTGTTACTTTACCTCATTTACCTCATTACCACGAAGAAAAGCTTGTAGGGAAATTTTTGCCTTATTATTGCTTACTAATGGGAATATTAACTTCATGGTAGACCAGTGGCCAAGTTTCCATGAAGTCAGTATTCTCATTAGAAGAAATAGGCTGTTCCAGTGAAGTGACCAATTCCTCTACAGAAAATAGCTGTAGAGCACAGCACCATCTGGATGGAAGAAAAAGGATCCCATTAAGCTCCTCCATATGTACTAGAATGTCTACATGGGATGTCTTTTGCTGATGTAAGGTGAAAAAATCTAGTTCCATGTCAAAACCCTTAAGTCTCATTTCGGCTGGTCTCAGAAGTTCTGTTGTGAGGACACAGCTTGACAAATAGTAATGGGGTTACTTTGCAGTACAACAACCAGAACGTGTAGAATAACCTGTTATTTCAGAAGAAATCTAATCCTAGTCAGCAGACGTTCATTAAATCCCACATCAATAGTGCTTATTTCTTGTCTGAATGAGACAAGTCTCAGAAAAGAGCTATTGTGACTGTAAACTTTTTACTTTTACAAACTTAATCTCCTTCACATTACATCTACAACTATTGGTCTAGCACGTTCACTGAATGGGAATGGTGGGAGTTGTATGGCTTCAGGTAGAGAATGAAAATTGGCACTAAAATTCTTTTTATGTGAGTTGCACCTTTCCTTGCTATTCCCTGATAATGTCCATGCAAAGCTATGATCTGCTAAGTGAAATTACAGTACCCTATTTATAAACTGTTGCTTTGTTGTATACATATTTGATAGCATTGTTCAAATAGGTTTTTAAGACAAGAAGACATATGTAGAGCTTGCTCAAGTATTATGCTGTAATTCCAAAGTGAAAAATGAAATACAAGATGATTAAATATAAGACGGACTGGGCAAATAGGTGGTGGACAGATTTATCAAGGGCTATTAGATTTTATAGTCAAGACTATGGTTTTCCCAGTTGCAATGTATGGATGTGAAAGTTGGACCATAAGAAAGGCTGAGCGACAAAGAACTGTGGCATTTTGACTATGGTGCTGGAGAAGACTCCTGCGAGTCCCTTGGACTGCAAGGCGGTCAAACCAGTCAGTCCTAGAAGAGATCAACCTTGACTGCTCTTTAGAAGGCCAGATCCTGAAGTTGAAACTCAAATACCATATATTCCAGAGTATAAGACGACTTTTGAGAGCGTCGAATCAATCTCCAAACTTGGGGGTCGTCTTATATGCCGAGTCATCTTATAGGCCGGAAATAACGTAGTTTCTGGCCTATAAGATGACTTTCTAGGCATGCAACTTGGTGTTGATCATCTTATACGCCAGAAATACCGGTAGTTTCCGGCGTATAAGACGACTTTCTAGGCATGCGACTCGGCGTCGATCGTCTTGCAACACGGCGTCGAACTAGGGGGTCGTCTTATACGCCGGGTCGCCCTATACACCAGAATATACGGTACTTTGGCCACCTAATGAGAAGGAAGGACTCACTGGAGAAGGGCCTAATGCTGGGAAAGATTGAGGGTAATAGAAGAAAGGAACGACAGAGAATGAGGTGGCTGGATGGAGTCACTGAAGCAGTAGGCGTGAACTTAAATGGACTCCAGAAAATGATAGAGGACAGGAAGGCCTGGAGGAACGTTGTCCATGGGGTCGCGATGGGTCAGACACAACTTCGCAATTAACAACAACATTAGATTTTAAGATTTGACACTATATCCAGTTTGAAATATACCCTTTCTTGTTTGAAAGCACCCCAGAGGAAATTTGTTAGTCACTGAGAAATAAAATATGGAACCAAGATGGGCCTTTATCTGATGCAACACATTACTCTTATGTTCTTATCCATGCCTTAAATTTATAGCTATGCATACAATTAACATTGCACTGTCTTTCCTTTTTATATCTGAACTAGTTCAACCCTCAATTCAAGATATAAACAGCTGAAACAGATTTGGGGATAAACAGGAGTAGCTAATGACTGATAGAGTTGTAATGATGAAAAAGAAAAAATAGCATTGTAAAACCTATCAATGTATAAATATAAAGCAAATTTACACAAATAATAAAGCATTCTTTTTTCCTCTTTTGACTTCACAGGGACATCCTAAGTCTAGTTTCAATCTATAACTGTTTCTCTACTTATACCATTGTATACCCATGCTTCTAACCAGTGCTTTTTTTTCTAAAAAAAAAAAAGGTGCCAGAACTCACACACATCATACAACCTGCCTTGCCTATCCTATAAGGTTCCATCCAAAAAAGGTGCCGAAACTCCGTTCTGGATGTTCTATGAGGAAAAAAAGCCCTGCTTCTAACAATCCCAGTCTTTACCCTAGATCAGACATGTCAAACACAAGGCCCGGGAGCCGGATGCGGCCTGCGAAGCCATCTTGGAAACAATGAGGGAATGGCCCCCACTGCCTTGGCCCTGGCCCAGGTCAGCCGGGAGTCAATGTATAATTTTGTGGTGGCCATCTTGGGACTTGCCCCGGTCCCACCCCCTTCTGCCAGAGACCCTCAGACCTGTCCCACTCCTGCCCAGGCCCCCATAGGCACCCTTGACGCGAATGATGTAGAACTGGCCACGTCCACCCAGTAGGCCACACCCACTCCATCCATGCCCACCGAGTAGGCCGCACCCACTCTGGCCACACCCACCCAGTCCCCCCAGGGCAACTGCAATGCTGATGCGGTCCTCAGTGAAATTGAGTTTGATACCCCTGCCCTAGATCATATGACTGTAGTCTCATCCTATAGCTAACCCAAAAGCAAACAGCTTGAAGTAATTTTTTACTATACCAGAATAAAAGTAATTTTGTTTCCTCTTAGGCCAACAAAGTCATTATAGCTTCATGCTGTGTAAAATATTTGCTTATCACTTACTCTGGAGGCAAAGACAGGTGTTAACTGCAAAGAGAGATGTGTTTGGAATTGCGGGGAGGCATATGAATTCCCACACAGCCATTTTTTCTTTGCTTCCTGAGTTCATTTTATACCTGGCAGTCCCTCTTACCCATTTTGCGAGCAGCTAGTCTCCAGCCTTTCAGTACAGAGGAAAGCTGATATTATTTTTCTGGGTAAGATACTAAAATATTCTGAAATGGCATGTACCTTTAGACCAGTGGTTCTCAACCTTTTTAATGCCGCGACCCCCAACCGGTTGTAAGTCGAGGACTACTCAACTGGTGCAGCACCGTTTGCAGAATGGGATTTTTGGCAGGCTCAGCAGGGCAGAGACAGCCTGGACAATTCCTATTGGCTTTTGAAAGCCAATAGAATTAGACTCTATTCAAGAGAGTGTATTCTATTGGCTTTCAAAAGCCCATAGAATAAAAGGGAGTAGCACAGCTAAGGAAAAGGGGGAAAAAATGGCGGACTGCGTTGTTTGGCGACCCCCGTGAAATGGTCGTTCGACCCCAAATGGGGTCCCGACCCACAGGTTGAGAACCACTGCTTTAGACACAACAGCCCCTTTTCTTGACTGCAGTGTCAAAAATAGGGATATCAAACTGGGCATTGGTTTATTTCCCAGTTTCCCATATTTATTTCAGTTACTTCTTCCCCTGACTTCCCTGTAGTAAGAGGTAATTTGCTCAATGTCTAATCAATTTGAATTTTCACCCTACAAGATCTAGTTGGTTGTACAATTATGGCAGAATCTGCCTCTCTCCTCCTTCAGGCTATTTCTGCCTTGGTCTCTTCCCAGATGTTTCTTTATTTTATATTAACTTGGGAAATATGGGAGTACAAACAAGCAAAAATAAACCTTCAGGAGACCCTACTAGACAGATCACCTTATTTTTGCTGCTTTGCCTTTTGGATGGATGTTTTCTATGCTTTATTGGGGAAGTATTTGTGCAAATTCTCCTTATTCTGGAGGTCTTATCCATTATTATCTACTAAGCCCCTTTTAATATTTAGAAATGTAAAGTCTAACTGGGATGAATGTTGGGAAAATACTGGAAAGAACAGTCACTTGATTGGCATGGGAACAATTGGTTTTTATTAAATAATTTTAGAATCTGCTTTTAAACAGATTTATTTACTTTGATAAATTTACTTATAGCCTATCAATATGGGTAGTCCTCAGTATACAACCATAATAGAGCCCAATATTTCTGTTACTAAGCATGGCAGCTATTAAGTAATTTGCTTATTTTACAATCTTTTTTGCCACAGTTAAGCCAATCACTGCAGCTGTTAAGTGACTCTGGCTTTCCCCATTGACTTTGTCAGAAGTCAGCTGGGAAGGTTACAAATGGTAAGCAAATAAACCCACGACAGTGCAACTGTCATAAATACAAGCCAACTGTCAAGCACTCAAATTCTGATCACTTGAGTGTGGGGATGCTGCAATGGTCACAAGTGAGAAAATTTGATTTATCTGTCATAAGTCACTTTTTTCAGTGCCGTTGTAATTTCAAACATCACTAAATGAATGGTTGTAAGTCAAAGACTACCTCTATTAGTGTATTCTAGCACAGAGGTCCCCAACTCTTTCAGCACCAGGGACCAGTTCTGTGGAGAAAGGTTTTTCTGTGGACCAGAGAATGTGTGGTTTTCTGTGTTGCTTGCATCCCACGGATGGGGCTTTGTGTGGACCGGTTGCTGGCATGCCAAGGCTGAGTACTGGTCCACGGCCCAGAGGTTGGGGACCCGTCCCAGCAGTAAAGATATTAACCCTTTCTCCCCATAGAATATATTCAGGTTAAAATCCTGAGCCTCCTTCAAACTTGCACCTACACCTGAAATGCCCCTCCTCCAGTTAGTTCCCTTCTCGTGCCTGAATGTCCTGCTATGTCTTGCCAAACTTTCATTGGGAGTTCACTCAGTCCTCCCAGCACTGAAGGAGATGCCAGAAAACCAATCAACATGCCCATCAGAAGTGCCACTCCCAAAGTAGGGCAATGAATTTTATCTGATTGTATTCAACTCCTTATGGTTTATGTCAAAGACATAAAGATTTGATTACTCCAGTGATTTGGGTAAGGGGCCACAAGAGCAAAATGGACTGGCAAGTGGGGACATATTTTATGTCTATTTTTTTTTTCATTTTCTGAGTTAAGGAAGGATGACTACTATGAACCACTGGATTGTATATTTTTAAATGCTCATGCAAATCAAATTGCCACTTTTGCAACCCGGCCCCTATCTCATCATTCTTAATTTTACTATATCACTTGTTGAAAAAGAAAGGCAAAAGTGTAAGTAAAGAATATAATGCATTCCTGTCATTTGGAGGACACTTTGTCCAACTCCTAACTATGGAAAGACTGCACCCGTTGTAACAACACAGGCCAAAAATCTGGAAACTGTCTAAACCCGAAACCCTATTAAGCATCCCTGATAGCAAGATGAATAATCATCATAGCTCTAAATTGCAAAAGGCCTTTTAACACTGTATTTTAAACTACCATTTCTCAGGAAAGAAAAGAAAAAGGAAAAGAAAGAAAAAGGGAAGGGAAGGAAAGGAAGAGAAAGGGTGGGAAGGAAGAAAGGAATAAATGTCCGTCAAATATACAGGAAATGTAATTTCTTGCTATTATTTAACGGTCGTCTGGATATATTGTTAGATGATTAACATCCTTTAGCTTAATTTTTTTAGGAATAAATATCTTCCTAACAGGTAAGGCTAAACTGCAGCACTTAGAATGCAATTCACAGAAGCACGCTAGTTTCTTCCTTTCCCAGGCGCACATCATGGTTAGGATCGATCTAAACTAGCGCACCAATTCCCGACTACCGTCACGCGCGCAACCAAGACTTCGGACAGGCGCCCGTATATTTCCGAGCGCAGAAGGCAGATTCCGTGCGTCAAAAGATGAGTCGCTCTTCTCATTGGCTGTTCCGACGGAGACGCGTCGCAGCCAAACACTGCGGGGCGTGACCAATAGCCAAGCCCGATGCGAAGATCTCGAGAGAGTTGGTCTGAAGCTGGCACCGCCATGTTGAAAGAGGGAGAGGCCACAGCCAGTTTATGTCGTTCTTCGGATTTTTTTTGTTTTTGAATAGGAACGCGAAGACCTCAGGGAAGCATTTGGATCGACGCGTATTTTAAATTGATTTGTTCCCTCCGAGAAATCCCGGTGGTGCTAAAGAGGCAGGCGGAGGGGACGGCAACAAGAGGATGGTGCAGTCCTGCTCTGCCTACCGTTGCCGGAATCGATACGACAAAGAGAAGCCCATCTCTTTCCACAAGTGAGTAGGGACGGGGGTAGGAATACGGCGGAGGGGGGAGAGAGAGAGAGAGAAAAAAAGGGGAAAAAAAAGAGGCTCTCTTGACCAGGCGGGAGAGGGAGATAGCATTCGCTTCGCGAACAGGAAGACGGAGGTACAGCGCCTGCGCGGCCCAAAGTGGGAGGGACTTTAAATAGTGCGCGGCCTCTCTGGAGGTCGGCGAGAAGGCGGGGTTAAAGTGCGCTTACTGGGCCCTTTTGGTTTTTTTCTTTAAAAAGCAAGGCGCGAGACGTGCCTATCTGGTGGAATCGAACGCGCGTAAGCGCGCGCTTATTCAACCGTCAATAACAGCAAAGCGCCGCTTCAACCTTTCTGACGGGCTGGGAGTGAGGGGTTACTTAAATTAAATGATTTCTTAAAATAATCACGATTAAGAATCGGCAAAGCAGGATCAATAGGGATTGACCCCCTCCCTTTTGATCCTGGTATTGCACCCAAGTCTAATTTAAAAAAAAATCCTCAACAAAAGCAAAAAAGATTGTCGTTTTGGTGAAAGCTAGTAGATCTACGGCTACTTTTGGACTTTAGGTGTACAAGTAATCCTTGACTTAAGACTACAATTGAGTCTAAAATTTCCATTACTAAACAAGACAGTTAATTAAATTTTGCCCTTTCTTACGATCTTTCTTGCCACAGTTCTTAAGGGAATTAGTGAGGTTAGGAACACCATTTTAAGTGTATCTGGCTTCTCCATTGACTTTTGCTTGTCAGAAGGTTGCAAAAGGTGATCACATGACCCTGGGACCCTGCAACTGTCACAAATATATGCTAGTTGCCAAGTCTCTGAATTTTGATCATGCAACCATGTCTTAATGGTCATAAATGTGAAAAGCATTCATAAGTGACTTTTTTCACTGCTATTATAACGGTCACTATACAAATAGTTGTAAGCTAGCAGACTTATGGCTGCTTCAGGTGTACAGATTGTCCTTGACTTCCAACCACAATTAAGCCCAAATTTTATGTTGCTAAGTGAGACATTTGTTAATTGAGTTTTGCCGCATTTTACAACCTCTCTTGCTACCGTTGTTAAGTGAATCATTGCAATTGTTAAGCTAGTAACATGATTATTAAATGAATTTGCTTCCCCGTTGATTTTGCTTGTTAGAAGTTCACAAAAGCTGATCACATGATCCTGGGACACTGAAACTATCATAAATACAAGTCAGTTACCAAGCATCTTGTTATGTCCCGAGCCTTGCAAACGGCTCGGGCGTTTGCAGGCAGTCCCGGGCAGGTGCAAAGCTGCCCGGGACCAGACAGGCTGTCGCCAGCGCCGTGCGCATGTGCGGGTGCTGGCGCGGGAAAAGTAACCCATTTACCCGGGAGTTGCCTATATAAGAGGCTGCGAGGCATTTGGGCGAGGCTGAAGCCATCTTCCTGTAAGCTGAACGCTGACTAAATGAAATTGAGAACTCCAGCTGCTTCTCGTGTCTGTTTTCCCGCCACGGACTCAACACTGGCGACGAGGATGGGATGCCTTGCACTACCTGGAAAGGAAGAAGTGTAAGCTTACCCAAGGAGTCCTGAGCGGCGAAAGAGGAACGGCGTCGACTCGGCAGCTGCCCGCCAATCCGGTGCGCATTCGGGGGTAGGCTGGCTGATAGACCCGTCTCCTGAAGATCCGAAGATGGCGAAAATCGGAAGGCTTTCGGAATTCGACGTCTCACATCCAGAGCGGTGGGAGTCCTACGTATCCAGAATGGAGAACTACTTCAAGGCAAACCAAGTGAGGGAAGATAGCTTGAAGGCGGCCACCCTGCTTTGCGTTTGCGGCCAAGACGCCTTCGAAATCGCAGAAAACCTTGCAGCACCTGTCCCAGTAGAGTCTGTAAGCTACGCAGACCTGAAGAAGCTGCTGAAGGAGCATTTCCATCCCAAGGTGTCCGTTATCTCATGGCGCCACACCTTCGAACAAAGGGATCAACGGTCCGGTGAGTCAGCCAAGGAATACATCGCCGCGTTACGGAAGGCCGCCAAGCCCTGCGAGTTCAAGGACCTCGAGGAACGACTGAGGGACCGATTCGTGTGCGGGTTAAGGCATCGCGAGCTACAACAGAGACTTTTCGCAAAGGAAGAATTATCCTTCCAAGACGCCTTAAGGGAAGTCACCGCAGAAGAAGCAGCAGGCGGCGCCGTCAAAAACATGCGGCCGATCAGAAACAGTGCAGAGGGTGCGTCCGTGCACCAGGAAGACGTCCGACGAAACTCCGAGGAGGATCCGGACGAGGAAGTCGACCGTCTACACCCCGCGAAGGAAGAGAACCAGAAGGGAAGCTCTTCGGCTCCGCTCAAGTGCATCGGCTGTGGAGGTCGCCACAGGAGAACCGACTGCAAGTTCCGCTCCGCTACCTGCCGGGCATGCGGTAAACAAGGGCACATTGCAGCTGTGTGCCTGGGCCGACGAAAGGCACAACCCCAAGAAGAACGCCTGAAGGGTACCAGATTCCCCAGCCAGAATAGGGTAGGTTTTTGCGCTTCGCGAAGAAGCATCTGTAGAACAGGCACACACAAGCCCATGAAGAAAAAGCTGTCACTCAACGTGAAGCTACAAGGGGTTCCATTATCTATGGAACTAGACACAGGGTCTGCCCTGTCCATCATTTCATTGCATACATTTAGGAAGATTTGTTCCAGAAGTGGGTCTAAGGCCAAGTTAAGGCCTTCTGATATTGTATTAACAGATTTTCAGAACTCAAGAGTGTGTGTTAAGGGGGAGGCCACCCTTAACGTGCAATACAAGAGTTTTGAAGGTCCACTAGACTTATTAGTAGTAGGGGGTGAACGAACGAGTCTCATAGGACTCGATTGGTTTGAGGCCCTGGGGATACACGTCACAGGACTCAATAGCTTACAAACACTCGACCTACAGGAAGTCTGCACAGAATTTGCAGATGTTTTCAGCCCCCAGCTGGGCACATTCAAAGGACCACCTGTGTCCTTAAAGCTAGACCCCACTGTCACTCCCATTAGGATTAAAGCAAGAAGGGTCCCTTTTGCTTTAAAAAGTAAGATTGACACTGAACTAGACAAACTAATCCAACAGGGAATCCTAGAACCTGTTGATTCCAGCCCGTGGGAGACCCCCATTGTCACGCCTCTAAAGGCAAATGGGGACATTCGCATTTGTGCTGATTACAAATGCACACTCAATAAGGCATTGCAGCAACATGCCTATCCTGTTCCTGTGGTCAGTCACATCCTGGCCTCTCTCAAGGGGGGGCGTGTTTTTGCAAAGCTTGACCTAGCTCAAGCATATCAACAGCTGCCTGTTGATGATGATGCTGCCATAGCTCAGACCATTGTGACCCACAGGGGAGCCTTTAAAGTAAAAAGGCTACAGTTTGGAGTGAATGTCGCTCCTGGGATTTTCCAAAGCGTAATGGAAAACACACTACGAGGTATACCAGGGGTCTGCCCCTACTTTGACGATGTCTTGATTGCAGGAGACTCCACACACATTCTAGCTGAAAGGCTTAGGGCTGTCCTGTTAAGATTCAGGAAATCAGGCCTCAAGCTCAGAAAAGACAAATGCCAGATTGGGGTGCCTTCTACTGAATTTCTGGGATTCAAAATTGATGCTGCTGGGATTCATCCTGCTGAATCCAAACTAACTGCTATTTTAGATGCACCCAGGCCAAAGTCTAAGGCCGAACTTCAGGCCTTTCTAGGCCTCCTGAATTTCTACAATTCTTTTCTTCCACATAAAGCTAGTGTAGCTGAGCCTCTTCACAGGCTACTAGACAAACAGGCTGTGTGGCTGTGGTCACAAGCGCATGAGGCTTGCTTTAAAGAAGTCAAGGCCTTGCTCACTTCTAACAGTGTTCTTGCACATTTCAACGAGTCTCTCCCTGTGTGCATCGCTTGTGATGCGTCCCCCTACGGGGTTGGAGCTGTCCTGAGTCACCTCAGGTCTGATGGAACTCAGGTTCCTATTGCATACTACTCCAGAACACTGTCTTCTGCCGAGCGCAACTACGCTCAGATAGACAGGGAGGCTCTGGCTGTTGTTGCTGGAATTAAAAAATTCCACGATTTTCTATATGGCAGGCATTTCACGGTCTTCACTGACCATAAGCCTCTGCTGGGACTGTTTACCACACGTAAGCAGACTCCCCACATCATTTCCCCTAGAATGCTTAGGTGGTCTATTTTCTTGTCTGCATATGATTTTTCATTACTCCACAAGCCTGGGAAAGAAATGGGCCATGCTGATGGCCTCAGTAGATTGCCTCTGCCAGTAGTAGAAGCTGACCCCGCGCCAGCTGTCAACATTCTATCAATCCAAGCCTTGCCCGAGCTCCCTCTTAGTGCCAGGGATGTTACCGCTGAAACAGGTACAGATCACACACTTTCACGTGTCCGCTCCTGGGTCCTGTCCGGGTGGCCTGAGCACTGCCCTAGTCCTGAGTTTCAGAGTTTCTGGTCCAAAAGAAACGAACTGTCCCTTTCTCAGGGTTGTCTGCTTTGGGGAAACAGAGTTGTCATTCCCACCTCAATGAGGACTAGGGTCTTAGAATCCCTCCACGAGGGTCATCCTGGCATTGTTCGTATGAAGGCTCTTGCACGCAGCCACTTGTGGTGGCCTGCTTTAGATAAAGATATTGAGGCTAAGGTACACGCATGCCACCTGTGCCAACGATCTCGCCCAGAGATGCCCCAAGCTCCTGTGCATAGATGGGAGGAAACACAGTCCCCATGGTCTAGGGTGCACATTGACTACGCTGGGCCCTTTCAGGGCCAGTTCTTCTTGGTCCTTGTTGACAGCCATTCAAAATGGCTTGAGGTTGTGCCTGTCTCATCCACCACCACTGCAAAGACTATTCAGGTACTGAGGGGGATTTTTGCTGCACACGGGCTGCCAGATGACATTGTGTCCGACAACGGCCCTCAATTCACCTCCTCCGAATTCCAAGCTTTCTTACAGGCAAACCTGATTCGTCATGCCACGTCTGCGCCTTTTCACCCGTCCACCAACGGTATGGCTGAACGCATGGTGCGCATCGCAAAGGACGCCTTGAAGAGACTCACCTACGGGGACTGGCATCACAGGTTGGCTGACTTTCTCCTTTCTTATCGCACCACACCGTCCACTTCTACAGGGAGAAGTCCAGCTGAACTTCGTTGGGGGCGCCAACTTACTACTAGACTTGACCGGTTGCATCCGGACAGACTGCCTTCATCTACCTCACATCCTAGGGCACCTAGACAACTACTTGTGGGTGCCCCGGTTTGGGCTCGCAATTACGGGCCTGGTCATACATGGGTCCCCGCTTCTGTGTCCAGGATCACAGGTCCTCTCTCCTACGAGGTTGCCCTGGACAACGGTCGTGTCCTGCGTCGGCACATCGACCAACTTCGCTCTAGGCGAGACTTTTCTGCTGAGACTCCTGGGTCTTTTCCAGGGGGGGAGGGGGACCCTTTGGAGCAAAGGGAAGGGCAAGAGCTACTGCCCATCTCCACTGAGGGAGCCACAAACGGCTCGTCCCAAGGTTCTGCAATTGCTCCGAAAAGAAAGTCATGGAGCTTACCCACACAACAGGCACTCACGCCTACTCCAGCCAGGGAGTCACCCCGGGGGCATACTCACTTTCCACATACATCACACAGCACTCCAGCAACGGAGGATACCCGGGGGCATCCCAACAAATCATTCCCCGCAAGAGAGCTGGCACACAATCCCCAAAGTTGGCCTGACCTTACCCCAAATCCTACAGGGGGTCAAACATACACAGAGTTAGTCGAGGAACCAAGTCCCGACTACAACAACCCTAGCACAAATCAGGGAACACCTGAGTTTTGGGAAAGTACAGAAACCCACACGAGCCCGAACACAGAATGGGGTTCAGGGAATGGACAGCCTCCTGACAGGTCTTGGACTGACCTAGGAGGTTCTACAGAGACGCCCAGCAGCGGCTATCACTTCAAGGGGCCTGAGGGTCTACAGCTAGGTAGGTCAACCAGGTCACAAAGTAACAGAAGCCCTGGCCTGACGAGCCCGGTGGGCAAGCAAGCAGGCCAGGCATCGGGGCACAGTCCTTGGAAGACACCAGGGCACAATAGAGAGAACAGGCTCACGCCTCCCTCCAGTCAGGGGACTTATGCCAGTAACCCAGAGCTAAGAAGGTCACAGAGAGCAAAGAAATCTCCTAAGTATCTAGAAGATTACATAACATTGCTGGCAAGGCAAAAGCCAGTAATCAGTGGGAGCACTGGGGAGCAAAATGTCATATAAAATAAATGTTGTATGTTGGTAGTAGTTTTAGCCCGGGGGAAAGGGGTGTTATGTCCCGAGCCTTGCAAACGGCTCGGGCGTTTGCAGGCAGTCCCGGGCAGGTGCAAAGCTGCCCGGGACCAGACAGGCTGTCGCCAGCGCCGTGCGCATGCGCGGGTGCTGGCGCGGGAAAAGTAACCCATTTACCCGGGAGTTGCCTATATAAGAGGCTGCGAGGCGTTTGGGCGAGGCTGAAGCCATCTTCCTGTAAGCTGAACGCTGAATAAATGAAATTGAGAACTCCAGCTGCTTCTCGTGTCTGTTTTCCCGCCACGGACTCAACACATCTGAATATTGATCATGTGACAAAGGGGATACTGCAATAATCATAAGTATGAAAAATAATCCTAAGTCACTTTTTTCAGTACTGTTGTAATTTTGAAGAGTCATTAAATGGACTATTGTAAGTCAAGCACTACGTGTATATCTCAGTTCTGTTTGTTGAACTCCTATACTATTTTTTTTAATCCCAGTATTCATAAAAATTTAAGAGCAGCTGAGTTGACCTGCACCAAAAAAGAGGTTATAAGGGTAACTGAAAGTTTACCAATAAAACATGCACATTTGTGAATGTTCACAAGCTCATCTTGACAGAGAACTTGAAAGTTTGTATGCTATCTGTAAATCAATAGCTGGATTTTGGAGCTTTTCGTATTTAATGTAAATGTTTTCTTTTTTGTGGACAGTAATAAATCTTGAGTTTTGTGAGCTTTGTATGCTCAAAAATTTCTACAAACATGGATGAAAGTTACAGAAACAATGGGTATTTCGCAGTTCTCCCACAGACTATGCCTAGAGAGAAACCCATAATTCGTTCACTAGAAATTTAATGTAGAGACCTCTGTACTGGAAGTCATCTTTCACATACTGTTTTTTCTGTTTGGGGTTTCCTGTTACTGGGAGAACAGAAAAATTGAGGTCTTTAATTAAATCCAAAAGCTTGATTTCTATCATGTTGTAGGCAACTTCTTAAAAGTGTATTAAGACTACACCTAAGGGAAAATGTGGCTGCTTCCCTTTCCTCCCCCTGCCCCTCCCAGTTTGGTAGTAATAATAAAAATTGTTTGATGTACATTTTATTTGTAGATTTCCTCTCACAAGGCCTGATCTCTGCAAGAAATGGGAAGCTGCTGTTAGAAGAAAAAATTTCAAACCAACAAAATATAGCAGCATTTGTTCTGAACACTTTACTCCAGATTGCTTCAAAAGAGAATGTAACAACAAACTATTAAAGGACAATGCTGTACCAACAATATTTTGCCACACAGAACCAAATGTGAAGGTAAGCGAGGTTTATGAATTATTTTTAAAGCTTCTGTAATTCAGAAAATACTGGGTGGCAATGCTCTTATTGCTAAGCAAAAGTATTCTGAAGACAGGAGACTGATATGTGGTGCCAGACGGAAGCGTATTATATTCATCTGTTGATATAATAGACAGAATTAAAATTCCGTTTCTACTCATTTACCATTTTGATTTTTTTTTTATTTTGGATTCTTCTAAAATAAAAAGAAACATGGATTCATTGTAACAATTTTGACAACTTTTTGTATCACTTTTAGACATTTCATCATTCCTGCAAGAATACTTTTAAATTTGATTGATTTCACATTGGTTAATGCAAGAACTACGTAAGAATGATCAGTGCTTCTGCATCAGACAATATCTCATAATTTTTGGACCATTGCAAGAGTGCTCAATATTTACTGTTTTGTATATGCACACTACTCCATCTCATGTTGTATTTATGGACAGAATATTGCTGCTCCAACCACAATGTCCCACTTCATTTTCTTTTCTAAACAAGGAGAAATGGGGAAAATGATTTGCTTGGAACAATGAGTATGTAGGACACAAGTTTTCCTATCAAATTGCCACTACTGGACTTGGTGAAAACTTAAAAGTAAGGTACTGTTTTGTCTACTCAGCAGCCCTTTCAGAACTAATGGTGAATTAAAAAGAGCTAAATAGGAATCCTTGTGCAAATTATGATTTCCATCCAAGAAATAGTTATATTAATACAAGTAATTGATGCCATTTTAAAACAACAAACTTACCTGCAACGTTCTATGTTAAGAGATCAACAACCTTTTCAGGCTTTTTTTTTTTTTTTACAATTTTGCACTATATTTTAGATGCCAAAATACAATTTTAAACAACATAACTCACATGATACTAATGATATAATTAGTATATAATTTGCTTATATTTACTTATATTTTAAGTTTTTATTTTTTTTATTAAAAATCCTCATATTTTAATTTTTAAATTTAGAGGGTATAATATAAATTGTTTTATCAAACAATAAGATTTTCTTTTAACAGAATTTTTGTGTCTTTTTTATCCTCTTAAGAAAAGCAAAAGTTAATTAAGTAAATACACCATATAAATACCGGAATATGAGTATTTAGTCTAAGAAAAATAGTTCAGCTAAAGGTTTGTTTATGATGGCAATCCTCAACCTTTCCACCTTGGCGGCCCAGCCAGGTGTGTGTGTGTGTGTGTGTGTGTGTGTGTGTGTGAGTGGCATCCACTCGCGCGAATGGGTGCTTGAGCGGAGGGTGCTTGTGCTTGTGCCTGAAGCTCCATTTGCATAAGCGCCCTCTGCTCAAGTGACCACCACTCAGGCAAGTGCAGCTTCATGAAACAGGCTTGCCTATTGCTCAAGCGGCCTAGTTTTGGATAGGCCGTGGCCTGATAGTGGGCTGCAGCCAGGGGTTGGGGACTCCTGGTTTACGACAACTTTGCTTTTTTATAAATATAAATATTTATAAAATATAAATATATTTATAAATATAAATATTAAGTCAATATCTTACACGAGACCAAGATATTTCACCCTGACACACACACACACACACACACACACACACACACTTTATTTCTGCCATTTTTTAAAAAATAAACATTGATACTCTTCTGGCTGGTAATTAATACTATCTTTGAAATCTTTAATTTTTGATACATTGTCTATAAAACATACTGTTAATAGGTGATTTTTTTTTCTTCCAGTTGTTTAGTTAATGATGCTTGGAATTCTGAAAGTTAGAGTTTAATGATTCTTGACGACACTTAGACTGGAGACTAACACAATTACCCTATACGTGCTGATATATGTGGTTTGGGGGAAAGGGCTATGATAAATATTAATTAATCAATTAATTATATTATTTATTCATTTTTCTTCTGTTCAATTGTATTCAAATCTCGGATAGTGCTTAGTCAAATCCTGCTGTTTTCTTGGCAAGCTTTTCAGAAGTGGTTTGCCACTACCTCCTTCCTATGGCTGAGAGAAAGTGATTAGCTGGCTTTATGCCTAAGGCAGTGGTTCTCAATCTGTGGGTCAGGACCCCATTTGGGGTCGAACGACCATTTCACGGGGGTCGCCAAACAACGCAGTCCACCATTTTTTCCCGTTTTCTTTAGCTGTGCTACTCCCTTTTATTCTATTGGCTTTTGAAAGCCAATAGAATAGACTCTCTTGAATAGAGTCTAATTCTATTGGCTTTCAAAAGCCAATAGGAATTGTCCAGGCTGTCTCTGCCCTGCTGAGCCCGCCAAAAGTCCCATTCTGCAAATGGTGCTGCAAGTTGTCTGTAGCGGAGGCGAGCTGTCTGGAAGTTTCCACCCCTCCCTGCTGAGCAACTACTAAAAATGTAAGTAAAAGAGTGCCAGGGGTGGGAGGCCGGCAGGCGCAGGGAGGGTTGCTGGCGCGCGTGGGGCCCAGCGGGTGCCTTACCTCCCTTGGGCTGGGCCAGCTGATGGCCCAGCCGGTGGTCGGCCTGCTCCGTCTCTGCCGCTTGCCAGCTACGCCTTGGCCAGCGCAGGGGGCAGCACCACGCATGCGCGGCACTCCCGGGCAGGGAAAGTCCTCGACTTACGACCGGTTGGGTAGTCCTCGACTTACGACCAGTTGGGGGTCGCGGCATTAAAAAGGTTGAGAACCACTGGCCTAAGGCATGACTAGAACTCATTCAGCTGGCTTTATGCCTAAGGCATGACTAGAACTCATGGTCTCTGTTTCTAGCCTGCTGCTTTAACCACTACATCAAACTGGCTCTTTTAATACAGTAGATGATATAACATGTAATGAATATGATCATAATCCAGTCTTAATTGGTTAGACTTGCCACTTATGCTGTAGCATCAATAATATCATGAAGGCTTCATTACAACAAAGGCCCTCAATATTCCTGGTCTGAATATAAATTGCTGTCAGGGATTTTCTTATGAGTGGAAAGTGGATAGGATGTTCAATGCATGGTAATCAGCTCATTTTTTTTATCCAAAACAACTACATTTCTGTACACATTTGTTGTGCATTAGACTAGCTACATCAACCAGGACTTGGCATAGCTAATAACTCCTCAGTGCTGCTAATGGAGGATAGGTTAAAATGCATATTAAAATCAAGTTGTGTAAGACAGCAGGCTTGGAAATGAGTGAGAGCTCATTAGCATCTATTACTATCATGTAGACATTCGTGTATTGAATGTTTCTAGGCTGTAGTTCCAAATCCTCCTCCTATAACTGTTAATTATAGTCAAATGATTTTTTTGCAGGAAAAAACCCACGTTGCTATCTGAATCTTAAGACATTTTAATGATGCTATTTCAAAATAACTTTTTAATGCAGCTGATATGGGCGAAAAAAAGAAAAGAAATAATCACCGACAAATGGATTAGTCATTAGTGCTTCACTTACTGAAGTATTTAACTGAGATGTAGTAACACTAATCTATAAATCTGTTTCAGTTCATTTCAAATGTATTTATAGTAATTAATTAGTATATATAAACATACAAGATCAACACATACGAGAATAATATAATTTGAGATGAGGAAGATTTGACAAGTTTTCAAAGATTGTTAAAAAAAAACAGACAAAATACATCTAACACAGGGACAAGAATTGAATAATATATGGATAAAATAGGCATTGTTATTTTTCTTGAGAACCTTCCAAATTGGGGGAGATTAAACCTGTTTTCAAATCAATATAAAAGTTGAAATATAATAAGACATTGTTGGAGAGAGACTGACCAAACCAGAGGGAGAAGTCAAGTAATTAGTCTGGAATCTTTATATAGGTACCAGAAGGCAAAGTCCGATCCCTCTTGAAGGCTTTTGAACCACATCTAATCTGGCTCAGGTACAAACTATCAGTCTGGAAAGATTCCAGTGAAATAGGCATGCATAATAAAGTTGCTAATTGAACTCTTCGTCTGTGCATCTGGTTGTTCGTAACTGACAGACATGGCCAATATTCTCTGTTGCCCTTATAGAAGAACTATTGTCACAAGCTTTAGTCCTAGGTAGGTATACAGTTTTAGACAATAAACTTTTGTCCCCTTTCAATGGCAATGCACTTTAAAATAAATGGGAGAAGGAAAATGTTTTTTTGTCTTTAGTACCGATGGAACAGTTTAAAAATTCTTAAGATATATAAGATAATTGCAGTATAAATTACGTACGTCAAACAATTATAAATGATAGTTGAGATCAAATTGTTATTTTTATTCATTTATTAAATTTATATACCACCCATCTTGCAATTTGAGGCGACTCTGGGCGGCTCACAATGTAATAAAACATGGAGCTATAAAAACAATTAACTATAAAATAACAGATTAAAATTACAGAAGATTAAGAAGAGACTAAAAGACCACAGATTTGGAAGGCAGTGGTGGTGCCTTCTTCTGTCACTGCACCAGCCACTTGCACCCTACAGTTTCTCCTTCAGAGCTCCGTGTCAACCAGCACATCCCGGTTTTAAGGCTCTTCCTGAATGCCAGAACGGTTTCTTTCAGTGTTAAAAAATTGGACAATACTGTTAAAAGATACAGAATCTAATTTTATTTGAAAAATAAACTCTTGAAGTAAAAAGAACCAATGTTCTAAAAGTAAATAATTTGAAACTGTGCATTTTATGGGTCACATCATAACCCATATACTGGATTGTTAGACTGTTTAAGAGAATATTTCCTGTTCAAGGCCACATATTCCAAAAGATAAGAACTGAAGATATATTTATTTGTTAGATTTATATTCTGCCTTTTATTTTAATCAGTGTTTATTATACAGTTCACATTAGACAACCACTGCTACTCAAGGCAATTGTGTACTAGTGGATTTCCTTAGTAAATCTTAAGTCTCTTAAGATATTAAGTCGCTTTTGAAAGATGGCTTATGGCAGGGCCATCCACAACTATAGTCATTGGCTTCAAAATGGGCAAGTGAATTTTGAAGCCGGTGACTATAGCTGCAGATATTATTGACCTATGGACTGGCAGAGATTTCAGCTGGAATTCTAGAATGTTAAATTTTAATATTCTTTCAAAAAAAAATCTTAAAAGTAAGCCACATTCTTACAGTAAGATGAATGAATATGTTTACAAAAATATAACTGTATAATAAATTATTCAAATACCCCAAACTGCTCCACTGAAATAGATTACATTCTGGTTTCTAATGTTCTGCTGCAATCTATAACAGAGACCTCTAGGCTGGATTAAATACAGTATACAGATTTTGCTTCTGTTATGAGATATATTGTTTTTAGCAAAAGACAAATCCAAAGTGGAGCTGGAAATTTAATCTTAGTTTGCTATCCAGTGAGAATTACTGAAGAAACAATCCCTAAAGCATTTTCTTATTACTTAGAGAATAATCCTGAAGAATCTGTGAACATTCACATATGCTGGAAAGCATTAAAAGCAGAAAAGAAGAGCACAATAAATGAATAAAAGAAAAAATGAGATTTTATTGGTACTATCTAAATCTAATAGGATCAATTAAAGAACTAGAACTATGGAAATTCATTTCTGTTATAACAGAATTAGTTTAGACGAAACAAAAATACTATGAATAAAACAAACGACTGCATGTATTTCTATGTTAAGATCCCATGCACTTCATAAATCTAAATTTCATCTCCAAGCTCTCATCCACTGGTCAGTTTTTTACTTCTCTATTAGATAGTATTGCTGTCCTATCTATTTAAAATTTTTCATAATTGGAAAATTGATAATAGATTTATTTATTTATTTATTTATGAGACTTATGTACCGCTTTAAGTGCAAGCACTCTCTAAGCGGTGTACACCAGTAAGCAATGTATATATATATATATTTACATTGCCCCCAACAATCTGGGTCCTCATTTTACCTACCCCGGAAGGATGGAAGGCTGAGTCAACCTTGAGCCGGTGAGATTTGAACCGCTGACCTGCTGAACACAGTCAGCTAAAGTGGCCTGCAGTACTGCACTCTAAGTGCTGCGCCACCTCGGCTCTTTTTAGATCTACTGAATGTTAAGTTCTGTGTTAAGAACATTAAATATTAACTTTTAACGGTACCTCTTTGAATGACAAAATAAGTCGACTCTCATAAGAGCATAAGAAGCTTCCAGTGTGATTATCGGATTTTCAAGTTATCAGGGCAATAATTATATGCCCACAGCAATTAAACCAATTACTAAGATCTTAGGTCTGCTGCTATATGGCGCTTAGCTCTGTGTATATAAGGGCAAAGCTATTCATTCAAAATTTCTAAGAGTCGTTCTCCATGTTTCTTAGTCTCCTACAAATATTCTTCTTTGGCTGGAAATAAGCTATATCTTTTCAAGTATGTTTGAGACTTTGTTGACCACATTTGGCGGTCAGTTCCTAGTCCAGCTTTAACTCTTAGATAATGGTATTGCTTTCTTGAAAAGAACAAATTGATTCTGATTTAGTTTAGTTCCCCCTTCCCATATATATGCTTTTTGGGTCCAATATAGGTAGTCCTCAATGACCACAACTTAATGAACCCAAAATTTCTATTGCTAAGTGAGGCAGTTATTAAGTGAGCTTTGCCCTTTTTTATGACCTTTCTTGCCATAGTTGTTAAGTGAATCTCTGCAGTTAAATTAGTAACACGGTTGTTAAATTAATCTGGCTTCCCCATTGACTTTGCTTGTCAGAAGGTTGTAAAAGGTGATCACATGACCCTTGGACGCTGCAACTGTCATAAATAGGAATCATTTGCCAAGCCTCTGAATTTTGATCACATGACCATGGGGATGCTGCAACTGTCAATTTTTTCAGTGCCGTTGTAATTTCAAACGGTCACTAAATGAATTGTTGTAAGTCGAGGACTATCTGAACCTGATAGAATTGAAGTGATGGACCTAGGCATCCAAAAATATACATTGAATGTTTCACATTGTTGACCATATGGGTGCTTCTTTTGTTATCCCAAGATAATTTTATAATATCCTTCTTGCAGAATAGCATTTACGCAGGTATAAACTAATGATCTGTCTTCAGCGGTAACAAATTATTTTGTAATAGGATTGTTTTCTCTGGATTCTCAGATACCAAAGTTGAGTCTGTAGCACAATTGCCCCTTTTTACTCAACTGGCATCTTGAACTTCAATCAGATTCTTCAGTGGCCATTCAGTTTTCAAGATGATAAGAATCCGGTGAGAGTGGAGTTCTTTATTCTGTTCAATTACAAAGCCTTTAGCTGACTAAACATATTGTTCCCCTGAAGGTTTTGCTACCCCTGTTTGAAGTTCGTTTTAATTCATATAAATAATGGAATTATTATTTTCCTCAAGCATAAAGTTTGGAAGAAGAAAAGTGATCTTGCTTGTCACCTGAAATGTTTTATGTTTCCTTTTAAAGAAACAAATGTAAAATACATGTTCTTGTTTTGCTTTTTAGTCTGAAGGCACACAAGAACCACCTGAAGTACCAACCCCTCCTTCTCCTTCACCTCCACCACCTCCGCAAACGTACCCAAGATTGGTAGATCCAAGCATTGGATTATTGATGCCACCACTTCATACTCCCAATAATATTGCTGTATTTTGTGATCACAACTACACGGTAGAGGATACGGTGCATCAGAGAAAAAGAATCCAGCAACTGGAAGAGCAGGTGGATAAACTGAGGAAGAAACTTAAGACTGCACAGCAGCGATGTAGGCGTCAGGAAAAACAGATTGAAAAACTGCGAGAGCTTGTTCAGTTTCAGAAGGAAAAAGACGTGCTGTCAGGCAAAGGTGGTTATGTGATTCTGCCTAATGACTATTTTGAAATTGTAGAAGTCCCTGCCTAGAAGGCTAGCATTGTCATTTGTGGGACACTGCCAAAGTTAGCCTCATCAGACTAACCCACCTTACTCAGTTTTAAAAGCAAGACTTTTTAGTTCTGTATATTAAATACTTCAGCCCTTCAAAACAATAAAAGTTGCTATATAATCAATTGTTGCTGTTGTCTAGTGCTGATCTTTTTATTGATCCATTGCTCAAAAAGGGAACTAGTGATGCTTAAATGTAGAGAATGAGTGACAATAACATACTTGCTCACTCATATGTTGCTCGATGTGATGGAATATGGATTTGACTCAGGAAAGTAGAAATACTGAGCTGTAATAAAAAAGATAAATCCTGGGAAAGCCAAAAAGCACCAGAAAAAAAAAAATCAAAACATATCCATCTTGATTGTGTTAGGGATATGTTGAACTGGAAAGATACTTTGCCAGGCTTTTAAGATTATGTATCCATGATCTAATAGCATTCAAGTGCCTTCCAAGACTCCAGTGACTCCTTTTTGTGATTCTACCTATCTTAAAGAGCTGATATCCATCTTGGCACTGTCCTCCCTTTTCAGGAAACTCACATTCCAGCACACTCAGAAATCTATTTTCAGTGATTCATTGGTATATGAAATATTTCTATAGAATTCATAAGGCGTGGTATGATATTGAACGGTGGCTATTATCCATGAGTCACTAAAACCTTGGTTCAAATGCTGTCTTCCTTGAGCAATTTAGGCAAGTTATGTTTCCTCAGACTGTGAAAAAAATATGTGGCTTTTCTGTTCCAGTGTGCGAGCCAGATTGTAAGCCATGGCCAAGCTAGGTAATCTTTCATTGTACAATCATACTTTGATCTTTAGTTCAAAGAAAAAAAGGCAATGTTAGAGACACACACATACCGGTAGAAATTCTAACCAGCTCTTAGAATAGAGCCCAGACAGTAATAGGGCTCCAGTTCAGGTGCTACACTACTAGAATCGAATGAAACCTCAATTTAATGAACCTCAGTACAACAGGGTTCACATGCACTAGTGATTTATACTATTTGCATAAATTCAGATCATTTGCATGATAATCATGTAAATGATGCAAATCAGCTTAACAAAATGATATACTTTCATGTTTGATAGACTTTATGAATAATGAACAGACTTCCCACAATTAGATTGTTAAAGTAAGGTTGCACTGTGTTTTCTTAGTACCTCCTTGGAAAGAGTTGCGCTGTTGTGTCTGCAACCACTGAATCTTTTGATTATCTGTGGCAGCCCATGTGAAACAACTGAAAAGTTAGGTTATAAACCGATGAATTACAATTGTAAGAACCACTGGATCCTAAAACTGGTAAAAGGTGTATTCAGCCACTGCTAGTTTGAGTTGGAGATCACATAGAACAACAGTCTAGATCAGTGGTTCTCAACCTGTGGGTCAGGACCCCATTTGGGGTCGAATGACCATTTCACGGGGGTCGTCAAACAACGCAGTCTGCCATTTTTCCCCCCTTTTCCTTAGCTGTGCTACTCCCTTTTATTCTATTGGCTTTTGAAAGCCAATAGAATAGACTCTCTTGAATAGAGTCTAATTCTATTGGCTTTCAAAAGCCAATAGGAATTGTCCAGGCTGTCTCTGCCCTGCTGAGCCCACCAAAAGTCCCCTTCTGCAAACGGTGCTGCACCAGTTGAGTAGTCCTCAACTTACGAGCGATTGAGTAGTCCTCGACGTACGACCAGTTGGGGGTCGCGGCATTAAAAAGGTTGAGAACCACTGGTCTAGATCAAGACAAGAGCTGTCAACAATCATTCAAATTTAAATTCATCCAGTTCATCCAGTTCATCCTCCATTTTGTGCTTATGGTGAGGCAAATTCAAAATAAACACCAGAATCACAATATCTAGATCAGATTAGTAAAGGTTTCACTGCCTGCGTTCAACATGATGATGATTGAGGGTGTGCAGCTTTCTCTGACTGCCTTGTATAGGTTTCCAGTTGCAACCCAAAGTCTTGGTTTTAACTTTCAAAGCTCAATATGGCTTAGTACCCAGATAATTGCAGTTCTGCCCTCACTGAATTAACCTATCTACTACACTTTTTCTGGGATAACCTTCCAGTGAAATCCACTTTCACAAGCTTAAGGGAATGGAGGCCAGGAGGCACTGATTCTCAATTGTTGCTCCAGCCTTATGAAATAGACTTCTTGTGGAATTAAGACTTGCATCATCTCTCTTAATATTCTGGGAGTAGCTTAAGATGGAACTCTTCCATAGAACACTTGCGGACTTGTTAAATGCTGCTAGGTTTTAATTTCAATGTAATGGTTGCAATTCACTTTTGTCTTGTGTTTTGACTGCTATTTATTTTTTCCTATTATAATTACACAATGTTTACATTTTCTCTTATGCTTATCGGTGTTTGTGGGTTTTTTGTTGGGTTACCATAAACCATTTTGAATCTTTGCCTGTATACAACTAGAATAAATGAATATACATATTGATTAGGTTCACATATTATTCTAAATTATTTAATCATGGTTTCTTGAATAAATCACAATTAGCTGGGTTTGCAGAACACTAGTCCAGAGACCCCCAACCTTTTGGGCACCAGGCACTGATGCTGTGGAGAAAGGGTTTTCTGCGGACCAGAGGGGGGCGTAGTTTTGCATACTACCCGCATCCCTCAGATGGGGCTTTGCTTGTTTGTGCTGCCCAGTTTCTGGCATGCCTTGGACCGGTGCCAGTCCATGGACCGGGGGTTGGGGACCCTTGCTCTAATCCATAAACAATTACTGATACATTACAAATGTGTAAATCTACATAACATATTACATCCTCAACAACAACATTGTACACTTTGTGAATCCAGACATTTTGAGGGATTCTTCATGGAGTCGGAGTCATTTCAGTCACTGACCAACAAAACAAAAAAGTCGCAATTGATTAAAATGAAACAAGGTATAAAATCATAAAACAAGTAAAATTGTAAGTTAACTTTTGAGAATTTAGGACATACAAAATTACAGTAAAGTATGATACAATTTATATAAGCAAATAAGGTAGTCCTTGACTTACAACAGTTCATTTAGTGACCGTTCAAAGTTATAACGGCACTGAAAAAGTGACTTAGGATCACTTTTCGCACTTACAACCTTTGCAGCATCCCCATGGGCAGGTGATCAAAATTCAGACGCTTGACAACTGACTCATGTTTAGGATGGTTGCAGTGTATCCCTGGGTCATGTGATCCCCTTTTGCAACCTTCTGACGAGCAAAGTCAATGGGGAAGCCAGATTCATTTAACAACCATGTTACTAGCTTAAGAAATTGCAGTGATTCATTTAACATTCCCAAGAGAAGTTGTAAAATGGGGCAAAATTCACAACTGTCTCACTTAGCAACAGATATTTTGGGCTCAAATTGTGGTCGTAGGTCGAGGACTATCTATATAGAATAAAGAATACTAAAATTACCAATCTAAAATATATAGAACCATTATAATACTAAAAGCTATGGAACGGACTTCATGAAATTTCTTGGTCCGAGAAATGAGAACTGCTTGCCATTGTCTTCACTGGAAATTTTCCACCGAACTAGTAAACAACTCTACAATTGCATACTTTTATTAAATTAAAAACCTCCCAAGAAATAAATTTTAACTGTACTAATTAAAACCGGGAAGATTTTATTTTTCTGAGATTGCCACCAAAGACCTAGTAAATTTAGTTGAAAGGATGATTATAAATAGATTGGCCCATTCCCCTGCCCCCACATTCCTTTTGTAGTCTCTTAAGTGTATAAATCAGTGATGATATAATGATGTCATAATCCCTCCCTTTCTACCTTAAGAAAGGTTAATGTTAGTGAATGTGACTGAGTTCCTGAAAAGATACCTGGTTAAGGTAAAGCTTATTAGGTGACATTGTAACATACGGAAGATCTAACTGTTATTCAAATTATCATTCTTTAATGATAAGAAAATACTGAAGTTATTTAATACAAATGCTGATAGCTTCCTTGAGTAGAAACGGAAGTACACATGCCAACAGTTACAAGGTTAGAGACTCCTAATGTTTAAATCAAATTTATTTGTGAGATTTACTATATATCCTGGCCTATATTTTGTTCTTAAGCCAGAGCAGTACTCCCTTCTGACATTTTCCCCCTCAACGACAACCCCCTTAGATAGATTGGGCTGAAAGAGAATGACTGGCCCCAAACTTTTCATAAGCTTATATAACTGAAGAAAATATAGTGATCCTTTTTTTTTCTTTAATTGAAATAGCCTTCTAAGGAAGTGTGGAGGAGAGTTCTCGTGATTTAGCTTCTTTGTCCTGGATCCTTACAGTAAGGAAAAAAGAAAACATCAATACAGCTGACAGAAGAGTTCTGTTGGAATATGGATTCATTAAGTGGTGGCTCTGATGTTTTGTCTCAGAGTAGTAGTGCCAAACAACATGTTTCCCGCAAAAAAGCTAGAGTTTCTATAAGTGATACCATTGAATATCTGAATGATAGAGAGACACCTGCCTACTTTTCCACATCAGTGTGCTCATGTAAGCCAGACCAGGAGGCCGCAGTTTCAAGAAAAATTAAGCATCACCCTGCAAGAGTATTGGGCTTTGTTCATAAATGGCAGGATCCATCCAAAGCTGAAAGCACCAGCAATATGAGCACAGACGAAGTTCTAGCCTTTGCTCCAGCACCTCAGCGAAAGACACGCCAGCAGTTTGGGCAAGAAAACAAGGCAGCCGCCATCATACAGTCAGCTTGGAGGGGTTCTCATGCCAAACAAAACATGGAGAGGGTGAATAAGGCTGCCACCAAGATTCAGGCAATATTCCGAGGATACTTGATCCGAAAGGAGCTGCCTCTGGGATTGTGTTCCTCCTATGGTTGGGCTGAAAAACAGAAGAAAGCTAGACCCAGAAAACAGAACCGCTCTTTCCCAACATTCCCCAGCTACTATCCGCAACGCGGTCTAGATTTTGGAAGGCCTGCTGAAAGGGAGTGTACCTGCCTCCCAAGTTACAAGCCAAAATACTATCCAAAAACGGTGATAGAGAACTATCCCCCGTTGAATCTCAAAGATCCCTTTGAAAGGGCATCTATCCTTCAACCCAGCAAGACAGGGTTATTTTCAATGTCTTTGCCCCTGGCATTAGAGAAGCAAAGACACCACGAGGCTGCTGCTACAATTCAAGCAGCCTGGCGGGCTTACCAAAACCGTCAGAAAAGAAGGCCTTTCGTCCACGTCGACAGATACCCTTTCCCGCCTAATGTTGCTGTCAAGCAAACAATTTGTAAAAATCTAACATTAGGATGTACTTTTCCAGAAGAAGAAATCCAGCAGATGTTGGAGAACACGGACATTTTGTTACTGAGCAAAGCACCACGGGTTCGAAATATTAATATACGTGCAGTGGTAAAAGGCTTGCCAGTTTCTTCCCCGATGCCCAACATATCTGTGGAGGTAAAATCCCCTCATGCGGTAATCCAAGGATTTCAAAGAGACTTGAGCAGTGGTGTCCAAGCAGTTTACACTATGAGAAACGCCAATGCTTCAGGAGTGTCTCAGATCCTTATTCATGTGAATACGCAGAAAGGAAAAATGGCCTTTAAGTAACTGGAAAGAAAATACAAAAGTCAACAATTTAATTTTAGTAAACGTCTCTTTGAGAAACTCTTCATAGATTCGGCTGTGCTTATAAAAATGAATTAGTTATTTGCAGTCAGTCCACACCTAGAAATCAGTGTCCGGGGGCTTTTTTCTTTCTTTTTCTAAAATGGAAGAAAGAAAAGGACAGTATCCAGACATAAACCTATGGTAAAATCAGATCAGAAAAAGACATAAATGGGCATTGCCTAAATGTTACAAATCTGTTCACTTTCTGACCTATTACATGGCAGTAAACCTGAATATTCTATCATGTTCAGGTAGTCCTTGACTTATGGCCCCCATTGTGCCAAAATATATGTTGCTAAGTAAGACATTTGTTCATGTGAGTTTTGTCCCATCTTACGACCTTTTTTGCCACAGTTGTTAATCACAGTTAAATCACTGCAGTTGTTAAGTTAGTAACATGTTTGCTCAGTGAATTTGGCTTTCCCATTGGCTTTGCTTGTCAGAAGGTCATAAAAGGTGATCACATGATCCCTGGATATTGTAACCATCACAAATATGAACCAGTTGACAAGCATCCAAATTTTGATCCCCTGACCATGTGATGCTGCAAAGGTTGTAAGTGTGAAAAATGGTCATAAGTCACTTTTTTCAGTGCTGTTGTAACTTTGAACAATCACTAAATGAATAGTTGTAAATTGAGGATTATACGTGTGCTTCAGAAAAGGTCTGTCTTTCTTGCCCTGTGTTTAACTAGTTCACAAATTCCTAAAGCATTTGTCTGTTCATACATTATGATTATCCTTACGAAACTGTTTTGAATTTAGGCGTTTATATATTTTTATTCCAGTACAAATGCTTGCTAAGACTGCAATTTTACAATCCCTAAAAGAGCTTTCTATTATCAATAGGAGAATGGAGTATAAATTTGGATATCCCTTCTGCCTTCTCACAAGTCTCCTCTGTTAGCTATTGCTGAAATTGAGATAATGTGACCTTGGAAGAAGGGATGGTAAAGGGATTGGGAAGAAGAAAGAAGCGACAGAAAGCCTGTCATGTCAGAGCTGTAAAAATTTGGATGATCATTAGATGGCAGGGAAGAGTCAGAGTTTTCTGTAGCTCTTTGCTGCCATCTGGTGGGCACCTGGATTTTTGTAGCCCAAACATGCTATAAAACTCTTCTTTCACAGTGCTTCCCCCTCAGTTTAAATGATGATCAATTGTTGTCTTTTCATTCTCTCCAGTGCAAATTCCTGCACTAAACAAAGAACTGAACTGATGACTTTAAATGTCTTTTCCAGACTAACATATTATGATTATAAGTCTCACACATAAGAGAGGGATTGCAGAAATCACAAGTGCATGTCTGGGATCTTGTCAACACGAAGTGATTCTATAAAGTCATCTAACCTCCACTAGATGTCTCTGTTTTCTTTTTATACTGATGGCTTGGCTTAACTTTTCAGTTTCTGAAAGAGTTGTCTGCCTGTAGCACACACAAATGCCCACAACCAGGTTCCATATTTAAGACAGATTTTGGAATGGATTGGAAGCTTATGCTACAAAGTAGGGTATACTCAGAGAAGAATTAAATGGGAAACATGCAGAAATGTGAGAGAGGAGGTTTGGCCAAGTAAAACAAATGGTACATTGAAGAAGTTATGAAGAAACAATTCTGTTGCTGACTGTTAGATCACTCTTGCAGTTGCTGCTGGACACACAGTTATAGCACCCGCAGTCCAGAACTACACATATATTAAAAGAAGTAAAAAGTTAAAATATTAACAAGGAGTTGAATTCTCATATGACAACTGAATCTTTACTTTAGGTACAATTTACCATGCACTGTCTCTTTGGGGGAGAAGATAACAATAGCTAGGTGATATCAAGCAAAATAATGTGTGGATGGGTTGAAGTTGACAGGGAAGGACTTTTGGGGATGCTATGCTTCTGATAAGCATAAGTAGTTTACTTCCCCCTTCAACTACAGCATAGATAGAAGTACCCATAAGTATCAGCATGGCTTTTTAAAATCAACTTTTCCCATTTCCTAGTTTTGGCAAGTTCAAAAGCAGACAGCCTGAAATCAGGTAGTCCTTGACTCATAACCATTCGTTTAGTGACTGTTCAAAATTACGGCACTGAAAAAAGTGGTGTATATTTTTCACACTTAAGACTGTTGCAGCATCCCCATGGTCATGTGATCAAAATTTGGGTTCTTGGCAAATGGCAGATTAGATCTTCTCCATTCCCATCTTCTAAAAGTATTTGCAAATTTGTAGAATAAATGAAAATCCAATAAACGTGATTCTCTGGTTCCATTTCTGTGACTAATGTCACCCATTATGTCGCTGCCTGCTCTAGTTCGAATATCCAAGATTTAGGGTTACCATATCGGTGTTGCAAAAATTCCAGGTAAATCCAGATGGCAGTTTTTGCTCTTTCCTGCAATCCAGGGGCTATCTGGGGTTTTGCAGCCCAGATATGTAGCTGCATTCAAGCATTTGCATAGTTACACTGTAATGCAAACATAGAGGTGATTTTCTGCATTACAGCCAGCCAGCTACTAGCCTCACACTGTGACTGTGACTGGCTGGCTGACCAGAACAAACTCATGGAAGCCAGAATATGTTCCTGGTATGGGAAGGTGTGTCCCCCAAACTGGGACTATCCCAGCAAAACTGAGATGTCTTGAAAAAGTGTTGCTGACATAACTTTTAAAGATATACTTTAACGTCAGTGACAGGTAAAAGATTCATTTGCCAGGAAGATGGTTTGATATTTTTGGCATTTCATTCTGTAAGGGAAGACAATAGATCTTCATTTCAGCAATTTTTGCACAAGGCCACCAAACAGAAACTCAGAACAAAAGGCTGCATCTTGAGTCCAGGAATATTTTATACAGGTAACTTTGGCTGGAAATTCAAGCCTATCGAACTTAAACATTTTTAAATGTTCTCAAACATTTCTAGAAATTGAAATAAAACCTGACTTTTCTCCTTCAATTGCTATGGCACATCATTTCTTTTTCAATTCTCTAATCTAAAAATGTCATAACTGGTTAAAATGATGACTACCAAACTATAGCAGCATTTGTTTTATCAGTAATGAAACTAACAGGATGGCATGGTGGTCTCTTATAATACATTATCTTTGACTGTTGCTTAGAAATAATTATTGACTCCCCCTCTATGGCTTCTTGATCCTTACATCGTTCCTTCCTGATTTGCTTCTGAGAACTATGCATATTGATAAGGTGACCAACTTTTTTACAATGAAAAGGAGGACACAAATAAATTGAAGAAAAAAATTGTAAATAAAAGAAACATTTTATTCATTGCAACAATAATACAGACAACTTGCATGTGCATAGTTTGCCAGCCGGGTATTTTGGCGCACTCAGCAGCAATTCCTATTGGCTTTCGAAAACTCATAGCGGGAGTAGCACAAAAGTTGGAAAAAAAAACCATCAAAAAAAGGTGCCAGAACGCTGTTCTGAGCATTTTGTGGGGGAAAAAAAGCCCTGCAGATTAGTCTTCAAATATCAAAAAGGAGGACACGAAGGAGGACACTTTTTGAGGGAGGACAGAACTTACAAAAGGAGGACTGTCCTCCCTAAAGGTTGGTCACCTTAATATTGATGCTATAATCTGAAAGCCTGACATCAGTTTTTGCCCAGGCCAATGCCTTGCAGAAGTTACAACAGCTTGTAAGTTATGAACAATCCTTATTTAGCCACTTTCTTGGACAGCAACCATTTGTAGTTGTGACTGATAAAAAAGGGACTATGACCTGTCCTTACATTTACAGCTTTTGCAGGTATGTAAAGCAAAGGAAAGCTGAAATAAGATCATAAATATAATCGTTTCATTTAACGATCATTTTGCTTAATGACTGAGTTGCCATTCTTAAATGTGCTACATTGAATTGGCTTGTGAGGCTATAGGCTTAGACAGAGTTCCCTGGATAATTTCCTGTCTCCTTTTTCTCTTTTCCTTTCCCTTTCCTCTCTTTTCCATTTAGTTTTGTAAATTCCCCCAGTGTGTGTGTTTATTTCCTTACTTACTTAACAATATATACAATAAAGTATTAATTAGCAAACCAACAAGCAACAACAACAAATTATAATTGTATTCTATTTATGATGTTTCTCCAAAGAGGGACCTTTCTTGATTAAAGGAGCTAAGTAGTGATTGTTTGATCTTTTTTTATTTTACCTGTCAGACATAAGGAAACCAACTTTGGTGATATGACTGATTCATTGCTTATGTGCCTAGTCCAGGGGTAGGCAACCTTGGCTCTTTTATGACTCGTGGCTCCATGCTAGTTCAGGAATTCTGGGAGTTGAAGTCCACGTGTTATAAAAGAGCCAAGGTTGCCTACCCCTGGCCTAGTCTTTGTTTCGTTTTTGACTCCTATTGACTACATAGTTGTATATTTGTTTATATATATTACCACATATTTGTATGCTTCCCAATCAGGCTCTTATTTACTAGTTTGTAGACTTTTCTCTCCTATTTCTCATATTACTATAGGCAGATATATAACAGTTCCTGATTTATCTGGAAAGCTATTGCATATTCTCCAGCTGTCCTTATTTTCCCATCCCTAAAGCTGTTTTTGTCTCCCGAGGATGCTGTTTGTTTTTGCAAAGACTTTTCTCAGAGGGTTTTAAAGCTACAATCCTCTGGGCTCACGTGGTAAGTCCTATTTGGCTGAACTCAGTGAAGTTGACATCTGAGAAGTTTATATATAAAGTTGCAATGAGTAAATTGAGTAAATGCTTATTTTATTTTTCTGTTATACTGTGTGTAAGTGCACATAGGAAATATGTCATTTTTTATAGATTCTTTTTTTTTCCAACAGGGTGCAGCTGCTGAGATGGATTTTGAACTTTTGGTTCAAATATTCTGAGCCAAATCTGGGTTCAATGATATGGGACAGTTTTTTCTTCAAAAATCTTTAATCATATAAACACATCTACTCTTTAGGCATTGCATATAACAGGTGCTCACATATTGGATTGGGAGTGATACCAGTAGTTATACACAGGTTACAATTATATCCCTGTTTTCATCTGGAAAATGTTAAAAATGGATGTCTAAAATAAATATATACCCTAAGTAATAACAGAACGGAGATCTTAATATTAACTAATTCATTTCTGACCAAAACAATTGTCACATAACTACTAGTCTAATATGCAATGCAGTTGTCCTTTTTTAAAATATTATACTCAATTTTGATTGTAAAATTCAATAACTTTATGCTTGTGGTATCTTAATATGAAATTAATATTGATATATTTTTGTTTTTCCTTATTTCACTAGTATATGCTTCTAAATAATCAAAGGTTCATAATTTATAATCATATTACATAAATATATATCCTTTTGTAAGCCATCCAGAGTCACTGCAACACTGAGATGGGCAGCATATATCATTTAATAAAAAATAAATATATTTGTAATGAAATCCACATTGAAATAATACAATATATTAAGATCTACAGGTAGTCCTTGACTTACAACCACAGCTAAGACCAGAATTCAGCAAGGCAGTTGTTCAGCAAGACAGTTGTTAAGTGAGCCACACCCAATTTTACAACCTTTTTTGCCATGGTTAACAGAATCACTGTGGTTATTAAGTGAATCATGAGGTCTTTAAGCAAATCCAACTTCCCCCATTGACTCTGCTTGCTGGGAAGTGGGCTGGGAAGGTCATAAATGGCGATCACATGACCCCAGGACAATACAACCATTGTAAATACATGCTGGTTGCCAAGCAACTAAATTTTGATCACGTGATTGTGGGGATGGTTGGTTGTACGTGTGAGAACTGGTTGTAAGAAACATTTTTTCAGTGTCATAACTTTGAATGGTTATAAGTCAAGATGATCTTATAACGTTCCAATAAAAGGAAAAAAGAAATTGAATTGAATTGAATTTTAGGAACCAGTTCCTAGGTTTCTCCCTCAATTGTGGCAATGATGCCCTGATAATACCTGGCATATTTATTTATTTTTTTATAAAGTTTTTATTATTATTTTTTCTTCATACAATTCAGTAGTATTTATTCAACAAACGTGTTATCTGAGTTTATCATTCACTAATACAAATTTTATTCCTAATCCTTTATTCTTTTCTCCAGCCATTTGTAAAATAAGTTCCAGGTTTGAAAGTATTCTGTTTCTTCTTTTTCTTTCAACCTCATAGTAAGTCTGTCCATTTACGCACATTTTAGTATCATTTAATTTATTTCTTCCTCTGGTGGTATTTCCTCATTTTTCCAGTGTTGGGCGAATATAATTCTTGCCGCTGTTATCAGATGTAAAATCAAGTATATACTTTGCTTCTCAATCTTTTATGGCATTATACCTGGTAAAAAAAGTTCTGGCATATTTAGAAACTGAGGTGAGATTGGATCCCATCCTTCTGATCTTCCGCAAGAGCCCGAAGACCTGGCTCTGCCAGATGGCTTGGGGCCCCCAATGGGGGAGTATCACCCTAGAGGTGGTGGATGAATTAAGAGACAATCCCACTTCCCCCCCCGCCTCCTGTTCCCTCCCTCCCCATCTTTTACCTCTAATGTTATTTTGTGATCATGATTTCTATTTTTATCGTTTTAAAAATATCTGCTAGGATTTTAATATTTTAAATGCTATAAGCCCCCCCCCCGGGTCGCTTTGATAGTAGGCGGCAAATAAATTTAATAAATAAATAATAAACCAACTCTAGGGAGGAGCATTCTATTGACCCTTCTGAGGACTTCCTTGTAAACATCCTCTTCAGGGTCTGGCAATTCAGCTCTTTTGGGAGATTTCTATTATGCCAATCTCCTGTCTTTTTTCTCCGAGGAGGTCCCCACAAGATCTCATTAGAAGTGGGGACGCAGGTGGTGGCGCAGCAGTTAGAGTGCAGTACTGCAGGCCACTTTAGCTGACTGTGTTCAGCAGGTCAGCGGTTCAAATCTCACCGGCTCAAGGTTGACTCAGCCTTCCATCCTTCCGGGGTAGGTAAAATGAGGACCCAGATTGTTGGGGCAATGTAAATATATATATATATATATATATATATATATATATATATATATATATATATACACATTGCTTACTGGTGTACACCGCTTAGAGAGTGCTTGTACTTAAAGCGGTATATAAGTCTCATAAATAAATAAATAAATAAATAAGTTATTCAATGCCGTCAAATGCAGATAGCTCCGAATATTAATGTTCTTCTACGGCAGGATCCCCCAAAGTGGTCAATATCAACCCTTAACAGTTGATGGGACTATTTAAGGCAGTGGTTCTCAACCTTTCTAATGCCGCGACCCCATAATACAGTTCCCCATGTTGTGGTGACCCCCAACCACTTATACATCACCGGGTGCCAGGAGCGTGGCCAAAGAAAAGGGGGGAAAATGGCGGACAGCCTTGTCTGGCGACCCCCGTGAAATGGTCGTTCGACCCCAAATGGGGTCCCGACCCACAGGTTGAGAACCACTGATTTAAGGGATCAATAAATGGCAGGGGGGGGGAATGTGTCAATAGATGATCAATAAATGATGTAAGGTTTGTTTGAGGTCATTTAATCTTTTGGGGGCTTTAAAGAGCTCCACACCAGTCCCTATTCCTGAAGGTAGGTGGCTAGTTGTGAGACAGGGTTGGTTGGTCATTGCAGTGAGTGTGGCTTTGAGTTGACGTTATTATGCACAATCAGCCAGATGTTTAGACTGTTTTTGGCATTTTTATCCACTTATCAAGTTCTTCCTAGTGATCTGGGAGAGTCAGATTATAATTTTGGTTTGTTGCACAGTCAGACAGATTTTCCAACTGGATTTGGCATTTTTATCCATCTAGCAAGTCGTTCCCAAAGATCTAAGATAAGCAGCTGTTGATGTTTGATGTTAGAGGTATTGTCGCGGGATGTAAGCTATCCTGACTGATGGTGAATTTGTCAATGCTAATGGTATTCAAGTGGTGCATCCAAAGCGCCTAGGACTATTGGTAGTACCTTTGCTTTCTTTTGCCACAGTCATTCTAATTCTATTTATCTTCTCCAGTTCTTTTTCTTCTCTTCTGCTCCAGGTACTGCCACATCTGTTGTCCAGACTTTGTCTTTCTTACCGACAATTGTTAAGTCTGGGGTGTTATTATTTTATTATTATTACTCACAGTACTATTAGTTAAAGTGGTATTTATTGAATTATATTCATATAATAAATGTTTGGGAGTTGAACAATCTGAAACTTTTTGAAGGGGTCAGTAAGCTGAACAGGTTGAGAACTGCTGCTCTACGGCTTCCATAAATGGGCTGCAAAAATCTGGATGATCGTTAGATGTCAGCAGGTACTATATATAAAATCTCTCTCTCTTTCTCTCTCTCTCTGTGTGTGTGTGTGTGTGTGTGTGTGTGTGTGTGTGTGTCTGTCTCTCTCTCTCCCCACCATCTGCAGGCCATCTAGATTTGTCACCCTTTAATTTTTAGCCTACAGAGGAAAATTGAAATCAAGCACCCATTTGATTACTGTTGCCTAAGGTTATTCTTTGAATTCACCTAATTTGGGCTTGAGAAGAATCCCAGTTATTGCCCAAACAACAAGGCAGAATTTAGGACCCAGGGATTATTTTCTTTGGAAGGATTCTTGCGTGCAGCTTCTGACAGCTGACTGAAAATCAATGAAGTGTACTCTAAAAAGCTTCACAGTGGTGCAAGATAAGGCTTAAATCTCTTCTCCCTGCAACTAGACTGCCAGCTGTTATGGTTTAGAATTATTTTTGTGTTTTCGATGGAAGTGGGTTATCTATAAACATCCAAAATATCCAGCAGGAGGACCGGCTGTGGTGATGAGGTTCTTAGATGTCATTAAACTGCCCCTCCTTTTTTGTGCTCATGGTTCAGGTAAGTGCAATTTAACAAAGTTAAGCAATTAGTTGCCTTTCGGGCAGTTTATAGCAACACAGAGATGCATTTTTATGGGCTGATATTAATCTCCCGGTCTTCTTCAAGCATGTTGGAATTAACTTTTGTTTGTCTTTAAAAGAAGGGAAGTAGGAAAAAAATAGTAAGCCACAGAAGACAGTGAGTATCATATTTCGGTTCATGTTTTCATGAGCAAGCTTGTCCTTTGGAGTTTTAATACTTTAGTGACATTTTGCAAAAGCTTTTGATCAGACAGCCCCTCCTGCAAAGCTAGTCAGGTGTAATAGCTTTGTCATGATGTATGCAAGAAAAGTACAAATATCCTAAACAAAGTATCTTTATTTGATAGAACCTATATCCTAGCACTGCAGTTCTGCTCCTGTCTGTTTTGAAGCAAGTGTTTCATTTCGTTGAGTCCCATCGAACTTGGATTGTGAAAGGGCAACTAAGGCTATGGAGGGAAACAAGAAGGCAATAAGAGATACGTGCAGGAAAGCTCTTGTGACATTTTCATGTACAACTATTAATTATTGAGAAAGGAGTAAGAAAAATGTGTTGACGATGGGAAGGCAAAGAGATTTATTCGAAGTAGCTCATTTATAGTGGGAATAGCAAAAGAGCAAGCCCCATTTATGGATTTTGCTGAATATAGCTTCCTGGAATGTTTGTACAGTAGAACTTCAGCTCCACAACCTTGTTCCAACCTACCCATTTGCTATTTCTTCGCTTGCTTCCATCACCAAAGAGCTTATTCGGTTCTTTACTAGGGCCATCATATCCAACTTGCAGATATCACTTGCTGGGGGCAAAGAGCAAAGAAAATCGATGGTAGTCCTTTACCAAAAGTCTTGAATGAGATGGCAATGGCTGCTTTCCCTCCAGGATTCCTCCTCCTGCTTTGTCCTTTAGAAGGCTGTTGGGATTTTTTTTAAAATCATTGCTTTGGGCAGATAATTTATTGTTGGAGAGCTTCTTTTGAAGATGTTTTTGACTGTTAGCAGCTCAGAGCCTTCAGGATTGATTGATTGGTTGATTATGTGCCATCGATTGTTTTCAGTTCCATTGTCTCCATGACAATGCATCCATCACGTGGTCTTTTAGATCTTGCTACTGGTCATCCTTGTCTTCTCTGTCCTTCCACTTTTGTCAGCATTAGAGCTTTCTCCAGTGAGTTAAATCATCACATAATGTGTCTGAAATAGGATAATATGAGTCTGGTCATTTGTGCCTCTGGTGAGATTTCTGGATTGATTTGTAAGATGATTCATCAGTTTGTTTCTTGACTGTCCACCATATTCTCAAGAGTCTTCTCCAATACCAAAGTTGAAAGATTTAAATTTTTTTAAAGGTGAACCTCTTCCTATCCTGCTTCAAGAATGGGTGACTTACTAATAAAGGCAAAAGAAAAATAACCAGTAAGTCTCCAAGACAACTGAGAGATTCTCTTTTTCTGTGAGGAGAAAATCCTGAAGTATAGTCCACTGCAACTTTACTTAGAAGCAAGTTTTCCTTCAACAGAGACTTATTTTTTTCTTCAGTAGATGCAGAATTTGTTGGCCCAGAATGTTTACATAAACAATCTCATCTTCCTTATGGATTCTAATTTAGCTGTTATCATTCATTTTTAACATATGTACCCTTTCAAATAGATCTAAAAGAACTCATTTGCATTATACAAACAATTATTCTTTCTTCTTTTATTTATTTAAAACAAAGATATAAATTTAGAAGATGTAAGTGGATATAAGTGGTCCAGTGAAAATCACTAAAGTTATACAATTAATTCTCAGTGTAACATTAATGGAAGATTGATCATAACAGAAAGAATTGTATGAAGTTATTTGAAGAAGACTATAAATCTTTGAGCTTAGGACCAAAAACTCCATTGTATTGTTATTTATAAATATTTTAAAAAGGAGAAAAGGGGAGGGGAAGAAAGGAAAAAAATTCCTAAAAATAGTTTAGATAAGTGTTTGATTTCTGATTTCTGCATTATAACTTGTTTAGAGTATTTATAAGCATATATTTTTTTAAAAAACATACTCTAAGTGCATTTGCTTTGCTGTGTGGTAAGTAGACATACAATTTTTGATAAAAATTGTAGGAATGTGTGCACAGAGGAAGTTGAAAAGCTATGTGGAGGTAGTGGGATAAAGCAGAGAGTCAGAATCCTCTCTCTTGTGCAACTCTGATGCTAAGGACAGACTAACCTTAGGAAAAGTCCCATTGAGCTTAGTAAGACTTAATTTTGAGTTCTTATCTATAGTATTATGCTCTTGATCTTAACCCATCTAGCCAACTTATAGTGATAAAGGTTGGCATGTAGCCATTTCTGAGTATTCTACACATTGTCTCTCTAATCCCTGATAGTGATAGCAGAATGATGATAGAGAAATAATAGTTCCTTTAAGGCTACCCAATGGCAGAGTATCACTGTCTTAAAATCATGAATATGTGTTAGTCTTCTGCAGATTTGGCAAGCACTGTAGGTACTAAATGCTGGCCTAGATAGCCCTTTAGCCCAACCAATCTCTTCTAATGTTTGTCACTGCCCAATTATTTACAGCACTTTTGCCTTTCCTATTGGTAAGCCCACTGTGGTAGAGTTTTATTTAAACAAACAAATAAACAAACAGCAGTATCTTTAAAAGTCTTGCACCAAGACATGCTGTTTCTGGATACTCATTGAATTTGCAGAATTAAGTTAATATTTGAAATTTCTATGGCTAAATGGAAAAAATAGCTAGAAACGTTAGCAGCATTTATTGTTACAGTTTTCCTCACTTAACAATGGCAATTGGGACTGGGATTTCCATCCCTAAGCAAGGTGGTCACAAAGTTTGATGTCACATGACCATGCTCCTTAGCCATAGAAATTCCAATGCTTCTGAGTGCTGCCATTAAGCAAATCACCATGAGTTGTTAAGTGAGGTCATGTGACCACTATCTGCAGGCTTCTCCATTGAATTTGCATGTACAGAGCCAACAAAAAAGGTTGCAAATGGCAACCTTGTAACTTGGGGAGTGTCACTGTGACCAAAATAAGCATGAGGACCAGTCATAACTACCACTCATTTAGCATCAGTGTAAATCTGAATAGTCACTAAACAAGTGGCCACCACACCACTATGTTTGATAATTGCTGCACCAATATTTGCAGTAGCAAGCATTGATATTTTTCCCTCTTCTCTCTCTTTTTAAGAGTCAAGACATTTGACATGCTAGTAATTTTTATCTTTGTTTAACTTTTCATAAATATTATTGATCTTCAACCAAATTATCTCATTTTGAAAGCTTATGAAATAAGTTATCCTCATATATGTTGTCTTTCTTTCTTTCTTTCTTTCTCTTTCTTTCTTTCTTTCTTTCTTTCTTTCTTTCTTTCTTTCTTTCTTTCTTTCTCTCTCTCTCTCTCTCTCTCTCTCTCTCTCTTTCTTTTTTTCCCACCCATCTCCCCCAAGGATTATATTTTTCACGCTATTGTTATTTAAACATTTGCTTGTATGACAGAAAGATCAGCAGACCCAATAAATTACAGGTCAGTCCTTTGAGTTAGTCCAGACAGAAAACCAATTCCATGACTACTAACACTACCTATATTGTAAGGTTACAGTAACAGAATCTTGTAAGTATGGAAGACTGATTTTTAAGACTTATATTTCCCTTATTTTTGCTTTCCAGAGAACTAGGGAGGGTCCTTTCTGAAATGCTTTCTCCAACCCCAGTTCCTTATGTGGGCTGAGTTATTCCTTGTCTGATAGTTACCTTGGCTGCAGCTCTTCCTCCTGTCTCCCATGGTTATTCTCAAAGTTCATTACATGATGCAATCCACTCAATTTTTCAGTCAGTGGAGATCATCCCTGAACACCAAACATAATAACTGAATTTTCACATAACAAAATCAGTTATTTTGTACTGTAGTCACTTAGTCACTGTAATTTGCAAACCACAATTTCTGACCTAGGACCCTAACAACTGAGGCTGTTAAAAACAATGTTTAGGCAAACCATGTAAAACTGCTTAATAAGGGGAACTTAATAGAAGTATTCCTTGAAATGTAGCATAAAGATTATAGTTATCTATCATGAAGAGACTACTATAGGTGCTTAGGGAGGAATAATGATATTTACAGCTTTTCTCACCTCTGTACAATATGACGGTTTACTAAAAACTAAAAATAGACTTCTAGGCAACTGTTAAAAATATAAGAGCCCTGTCATCCTGAACAGTATTTCAAAAATAGAGGTGGGAGGCACGGATCCTAAAATTTCCCCTAAAATTGCTTTCATTTGGACGTAGGTCCAGATTGTTATATATAGTCCATCTACTAAAATTTATATATTGCCATAGACTTTTTCATTCTGTCCAAGCTGCCATTTCACATTCTACATTGTCCTGAGTGTCATTCTTATATTAGTAATAATTATAAGGCATACATTTAAATTGTCCCTTACATAGCTACTTAAATTATTTATGATTCAAAAGTTTCCACTGGAGTTAGTCTTGAAAGAAATGTTTATGCCATTGGCCAATTGTTTTTTTTTTAATATTCTATTTGCATCTAGAACAACATGTATGACATGCCTATGATTTTAATTCAATTGTATTATTAGGCTATTGCAATGCTTTGTATGATAGTTCTAGTTAGTTATTTCTGCCTTTTCTCCTTTTTTCTGTCTTTCAGCTTTCACTGTGTTCAGTTCATTTGCTGAGAATGAAGATGCCCTTTTACGACACTTATTTCGTGGGTATCAGAAATGGATTAGGCCAGTAAAACATGCTAATGATACTATAAAGGTATATTTTGGACTGAAGATCTCTCAGCTTGTGGATGTGGTAGGTAATCTTCAAACCATTTTTTCTGACATTCTTTGATAGAAACTTTCACATTATTTCCCTTGATAAGAGATGTTCCTGTTCCTGTTTGTCTCTATCAATCTTGTAAATGGCTTTTTAAAAAACATTTAACAACTTAACAACAGCAAAATTGTTTTTTTCTTTATTTAATTAGCATGATATGTTAGGACTGGCTATTTTTTCAAATAGCCATTAGCCACACTGATTAGGGATTATGGGAGTTCAAATCCAAGCTGAATAAAGCTGCAAAAGGAGAGCAAAATATACTCTTATTATTTTAGGGCAGGAGTCTCCAAAGTGAGCAATTTTAAGACTTATGGATTTCAACTCCCAGAATTCCTCAGCCAGCATGCTTTCGGGGGGGGGGTGTCTTAAGAGTGGCAGTTCAGGAATATAGATACAGAAAGATATGTGACTATAGGAAGACATGCAATTTTTTCATTCTTTTTTATTTGTATGTGCTTGCATAAAGAATATATAGATTATAAACACAGGTGGTGTAGGACTGGTCAAAATATAATGAAATATCTTGGGGCCTTCAGCCATGCTGTTCTATCCTTTGATAATTTCTTTCAATTGTTCTTCACCAGGGTAATCTGGAAACTTCAAGGATCACTCTTTGTGTATGCATGCGTATGTGTGTTTACATCTGCTTAAAAAAGGTGTAAAGACATATCCTCCAGATATTATAGTCAGTATAGATCTTTTATTATTAAGCATACAAATGCAAATTTTTTAAAAAGTATGATTATACTTGCAGTCCTATAAAACAATTTTGCAAAGATTTTATGAATGTGTGTGTATTTTTATGATACAGTCAGCCAGATGTTCAGACTGGATCTAGTATTTTATCCACCAATCGAGTCCTTCCCAAAGACCTGGGATAGGTAGATGTTGTTGTTTGATGGTGTGTTAGCACAGTATACTACATAGTATACTAAGTATACTAAGCAGTGTGGCCTTTTATAATTGACAGATGGAAATTTTATCAATACACAGATTTTCTAAATGCTGTCCAAGATTTTTTGGGTCTGACACCCCATGTGCTGATAACCACTGGGAGCACCAGGACTGCTTTATGTCATAATCTTTCAATTTCGATTTTCAGATTTTGATACTTTGTCACCTTCTGCAATTCTTTGTCTTCTATTCTACTATCCCCTGGTATTGTTACATCAATTATCCACACTTTACAATCACAGTTAAATCTGGCGCGTTATGAACCAAGACAGTTTTTATTGAAATTCCCATGTTTTAACTAGCTCTTTTTCAATTACTTTTTCAACTCTATATTCCCACCAATTTTCCCTAACTGACATATAATCATTTTTACATGACTTGATGACTGTGTTATATCGTTGTTTATAATCACTTAGTGTGATCTTCATGCATGGATTGTATATATGATCTATTATTTCTTCTGCCTCTTTGCACAATCTGCAGTTTAATCATTTGACAATTTTTCAGTTCTGACCTTGATTACATTAGCTTTAATAGCTTGCTCTTGAGCAGTCAAAATTAAGCCTTCAGTTTCTTTTTCTAATGTTCCAGTTGTCAAGGATTGCCAGGTTTTCCCATGATCTTTTTAAAAAACTGATCATGCTTTTCCTTTCCAGCATTCCATTCTTGTTTTCATTGCATTATTTTGATATTCATGTTTCATCTCCTGCACATTCAGTAAGTTCCAATTTTTGACTTGCAGCAATGCTTGTTCTTGGCTGCCTTTTACATTATCAATTATGCATGCTTTTCTTCTTCAAAAGTTTGTTAGACTTCAAATATGCTTCTATTTCTGTGGGGCAGATATAATCTATCAATATAACTTCAGGATATAATGCATAGTGAATAGATTAGTTTTTTTGCTTTTTTGGCCCAAACTGTTCAGTATAGCTTTTGTCCAATTAATAATTCCACTAGTGCATTGTACCATAGGTATTGCCATGGTACTGGTGGCTTTGATGGTGTTTACATCATTCACTTTTTTGGTATATTCCTTATTAATCACATTTTTAACTTGTCCGTGCATAATGTTATTCAACTGGAAAATGCCTAGATATTTAGAGGCTTCAGACTTGATTTATCATTTCCAGATGTCCAATTTTTCGTTCTTTTCACTTGATTTTTAACCATTTCTGCTATTATTAGTTCTCCCATTTGATTTTTATTAAATTCACTTTTAAATTCTTTTATCCATTATTTTTTATAGTCTTTTGAGTTTCCCATAGACTTTCCAAAAATGAATTATTTCCTTTTAGTTTGGTTTTCCATTTTCAGAATTTCTATTGCCATTTATCCTTTGGTAGAATTGTTTATGGTCTAATTGAAATAGTTGATTTTGCTTAAATTGTATGATTCCTGCCTCATAGCATTCAATTATCCCTTTTATTGGTGGTGTTTGTTACTTTATGATTTCCAAAGGTGCTTCGATTTTTCTAATATTAAGCCAATTTTTTTATTAAGCTCGTCTTGATCCTTATATTTTTTAACTTTCACTCTTTCATGTTCTTTAAATTTATTTATTTATTTATTTATGAGACTTATATACCGCTTTAAGTGCAAGCACTCTCTAAGCGGTGTACACCAGTAAGCAATGTATATATATATTTATATTGCCCCCAACAATCTGGGTCCTCATTTTACCTACCCCGGAAGGATGGAAGGCTGAGTCAACCTTGAGCCGGTGAGATTTGAACCGCTGACCTGCTGAACACAGTCAGCTAAAGTGGCCTGCAGTACTGCACTCTAACTGCTGCGCCACCTCGGCTCTTGGTTTTCTAGTTTCAGTTCCCAATTTTTCTGTAATGACCACTGTTGTACCAAGCTGATTGGTCAGTTCGATAGATGTTATTTTAATCCTCACAGTTACCTTATTCACATTGTTCAGTATAGGTGCCAGGTCTTTAGGGGGCACTACTTTCAATGCTGGCAGTCTTTGTCTTTAGTAGTTCTGCATATGTCATAATTTTCTCTTTTAATTCTTCTTGTTGGTGGAGTTGGGAGATAAGTTCATAGGTTGCTTCTGTGTTGGCCTGTCCTGGTTCTGTTATTATTCTAATTATTCTATTATTTCTGCAGTTCATGTTATCTTTTCCCTTTATATTTGCAATTGTTATTATCTGAGTTTCTTCTACTATTCTGCTATTGCTAGGTCTTCCATTTTTGCAATTTTTCTGAATCTCTTCCAGTTCTTCATCCCTAAATATATTATTTCTGGTACTGAAATCTTCTTTGGTCTGCTAACAGTTGTTCAGTGATATTTGACTCTGGATAAATTCTTTTCCACATTTTAAGTGTTCACTTTAAGTTATTAATCAAGAGAGAGAATACAGAGTTGAAAAGGGAAAGTAACTTCTGGCAGAAAGAGAATTCCAAAAGAGTTTGACCAGATTGGTGTCTTTCTCTGTGTGCATGTATGTTTCGTTCATAAATCAGATGTTCAGCTTTGCTCACAGTTGCTGTTTACTTAGAATAGTTAAAACAATGTAAGTAACTATGAAAAAGATAGAAACCAAAAACTCCCATTTAACTCCCATATAATGTTCTTATATAGGTTCATAATGTTTAAGTTACAAATAATTGAATTAAAAAAAAATCTTGGTTTCTATTAGAGTTGCTCTGATAATTCAAATTTCACATTGGAGAACAAATTTAAAATAAAATTGTCATTATAATGTTTTGGATCAAATGCTGTATTTAGGAAAATGCTATATATTGTCTTAGCCACTGAATTTTAAATGCCTTTATGAACTTGGGAGAAAAATACCAAGTAAGCAGCCCGTTGTAATGATGAAGTCAGTACAACAATTAATTTATTAAAAAATCTTGAAAAAGCTTGAAGAAGAAAAAAATCCCAAGTTAAACATTACATTATGCATAGTATACAGAAATTGCTGCCCAAAATGCTGCATAACATGGGAGGATATAATGCTAATGCTAAATTATACAGAAATTGGTCAGGGAAATTTCCTTCCCAGGCCTTACTAGAATAATTGGAGTTTTCTGATTTGCTGAGTGGCAAAAGGTGGAGGACAGAAAAAAAGAGCACATGTAATTGAACTATGGAATTTGATTCTGATGACTTTAGGTAGGTTTAAAAGGAGATTAGACAAATTAATGGAGGATAAGTTTATTAATGAGAGCCGTTTGATGTAGTGGTTAAAGGTGATAGGCTAGAAATCAAGAAACCTTGAGTTCTAGTTCTGCCTTTGTCACAAAGCTAGGTCGGTCGGTGATTTTTGGCCAGTTATTGTTTCTCAACCCTAGGAGGAAGGCAGTAATAACTCACCTCTGACAATGTTGCCAAGAAACTTCACAGACTTGCCTGTATATTCAGCAGGAGTACAGTACAGACTGACTTGGAAAGACACACACACACACACACACACACACACACACACAGAGAGAGAGAGAGAGAGAGAGAGAGAGAGAGAGAGAGAGAGAGAGAGAGAGAGAGAGAGAGAAAGATTACCAAAGCTACTAGTCTCGGTAGCTATAGATTACCTTCAGTATTATTGCTTGGAAAGTGTTATTGAGTTCCTGTATCGTGAACAGGTTCTTGCCAGGATAGATAATCAGAAGCTATAATTTGCCAGAACTGGAGTTTAAAGTTTGTTGATGAGGCCCAGTTTAGATCAAGATTCTAGGCCTGCTCACTCCAGAGGGGATTGCTTGCCAGATGTGCAGCATCCTATGTTTTTTTCTATGATTGTAGACTTGGAATCTGACCTGGTTATGTCCCAGTCTTGGGCTGCAAGATTTCCAGTTGCTAGTATGGAGCCCCCTCCCCCGCCCGTTTGTCACAGGAAAGGGCAAAGCCAAAACAGCTGCATTTATTCCAGCTGATGGCTATAAAAGGCTCCAGAACTACCTTCAGCGTTAGGTGTTTTACTTCAGGGAAGATGGGACTTTGGTGTCAGGGAAGGTAGCCCGGAGATCGAGGTGGTGTCTGAATAGGGTTACCAGACATCTGAAGAGGCAAAAGAGGACACAGAGAATTGGAAAGGAAGAAAAAGAAGGAAAACTGAAAAAGAAAGTAGGTAAGCCTATATGTATATACAATTACTTTTCCAGCATGAGGAATACTGATTTTTCAATCTTAGGAATGTGCTAGAGCTGATCAGGACGCAAAAGCCTTCAGGGTACAGCTGATTAAGATCTTGTCAATTTCAGGCAGAGGGGGTGGGTGGTAATCAACTAATTAATCAACTAATTATAGCTGAGCTTCTTAACTTGTAGTTAACTGATTAAGGAACTGATTGTGTGATGGGAAAACACTGCTCGGGGAAAAGAAAGCTTGTTAGATACTCAAAAAGCCTGACATTATTTGACTGTGCTTGCTGGACAAAAAAGAAGGCTATATTCTCCTTTTGCAGACATCTGGTAACCCTACTTCTGAATCAAATAAATATGTAAACAGTTGTAAAGTAATTCTGTCCTCCTTTTCTATCCTTATGTACAAATAGCAATTTTAGTCAAAGCATTAAAATTTAATTATTTTACATAGGATCCTCCTGGGAAGCAAAATATTATCAGAAAATGTAGCTGATTCTCTAGGGGATATTTTAAAAAATAAAAATAAATGGCTTGCTCTTTTTCCCCACCCCCTCCCCTTTCTCAACAGGATGAAAAGAACCAGTTAATGACCACTAATGTATGGCTCAAACAGGTAAAAATAGAATGTTTTATTTTAATTTGCCCCCCACCCCAAGGACTGTTAGTAGTCAGTGAATTTTAATGTCCCTATAAATCTTCACCTGTGACAGACAGATGTTCCAATGTGATTTTATGAATCTATAAATCTAGCCTCACCTTAATGGATATAAATTGGCTTGTGTCACAGATACTTTGGTTAGAATACAACACAATACGACGCAACACTTTATTTGGCCAAATGTGATTAACATTTAAGGATATTGCCAATTAATGCTTTATTTAAAATGTCAGATCTAATGCATCTAATACAATATATAAATGGCTTTACCAACAGAATATTTGTACCTGTGGGGTCCTTGGTATTCTCTGAGCTTGATTGTTTTCTTGCAGGTGTTTTATTACCCAACTAGCTAACATAATCAATGCTAGCATAAATGGCTTTTGTTTTAATTCATGTATTTGAACAGCAATTTTTACACTGCATTTGCAACTTTTGTAGCAGAACCCCCAATTTTTTTTTTCATTTACCAAACTTATTTGCCTCCCATTTCTCCAAAGTGACTCTAGGCAGCTTACAAACATTTAATTAAAATGTCCATTAAAACCTTAAAACAAGAAAAAAGGAATCTTAGATTTAAAATTTGGTTAAAATAAAATTGAACAGGATGGAGAGGGAGGGAGCAAAGTGAGCTTAGGGAGGAGGGGAGTGGTATCTCTTCCATTAGCCACCTCCAAAGTGCCATATTCCCACTGGAGCTCCTAGTTAGCACAGCCATGTCTTCAAGGCCGAATCCAGTTTATATTGCTAACTCTGATATTTTTCCTGTAATACATAGCCTTTGGATGAGTGGGGTGAGATGAGGGGGACTGAGGAAAGCAGTGTCAGATGTTCTTAACATGTATTCAAAGCAAGCTTTACATAAGTAAATTAACAAGTATGAGTAAACTGTCCCATTAAAGGGTTTTGCTCAATCCATTTTCCTTCATTCAATTTTCCAGGCCTACAGAACAACAAAATTAAAATCCTTGGCCTTGCATTCTATAGAATTCTCCTCAGCAGAGACAGGGCCAATCCTAAAAAGAAACTCTGACAAAAAGAGTAAGAAACAGAGGCAGTCAGCCATGGTCTTTTTATATTGAACTACCTTGTGCACGAGTCTCATTTTCCTCCATTGAGGAAAGAGCACTAATTACCAACTTCAGTGGTTATAACTTTATTTTATTTTTATTTATTATGAAATTCATTTGCTGGCCATCTTGTATCCAACAACTCTGGGTGACTTATAACATAAAAACATTAAAAAACATTAAAAGTATCAATTCTAAAATAATAAAGCAGATAAAATCATTAACACAAGATGGCAATGGAGGGAGCTAGACACATGGGGGGGAGGGGTGGTGGGATTACATTTTAATTAGTCAATCATCTCCAGTGGATCATATCTGCTATGGTCTTTCCTGAATAGATTCATCTTTCCTGAATAGGGATAGCGTAGTAGTGATTTATGTGTGTGCTTTACATTTAGGCTACTGTGATGCATTTCAAGTGGGACTACCCTTGCAGTTGATCCAGAAGCTTCAGCTGGTCCAGAATATGGCGGCTGAGTGGGTCTCTTGCTGTACACTATGTCATGTTAATAGGCCCTGAGCCAAATTCAGGATTCCAATTTTGATATATGAGGCCTAAACAACCTGGTAGACCACCTTTACTATGACAAACCTGACTAAAGTGTACAAATTCTAGAGGAGTCATTGCACCACAATGCTTTTGCATTGTTTTTCTTCCCTATTCTAGTGAATGTCACAGGTTTTGCTTGCCTGTTCTTTCTATCTCTTTTTAATACATATGTTTTTATATAAATTCACTGTAAGATTATTATTGCATTTAGTCATTTTAATTGTGTTGCTTATATACAGTGTCAAGATAATTACATGAGATATATGAGCCCTCTAGGGCTATAAGGAGAAATGAGTCCTTCATCTCTCCTTCTAGCTCAGTATGATCAACATCAACACTGCTATCTTATATATAAAATGTCCTGTTTGGATTTTCCCTTATGAATTGCATTTGTGCATTTTATTTAAGTTACTCAACAGTTACAATAGAGGACATGTGACTTGCACATGTGACATTCAGGAAAGGGAATTAGACTGTTTCATTAAATATAAACCCACATCAGCCTTATTGCTTTTGTCATTGCTTATGTAAACTGGAGCAGCCTTTGAGCAACATCACACAACAGGGATATTGCATAGTTAATACATCAGTGAAATTTTACTTCTTTTAAAACCTCCGTGGAGAATTAGCTATAATTGTAATGCTCACTTCTGCTGATGTTGCAACCACAATGAGTCAACCTCCAACAATCAGACAATTAACTAACTCATCGTATCTTCTGAATTGCTGGTGTCCAGGTGCCCTCTACTAGCCTACGAGAGAGGGTTGGAGCTTGGGGACTGGGAAGGTGAAAACCTATGGGCCTGTTTCCTTTTTTCATATATATCTGCCTGACTTTCTGGCTATAGGTTTGTGGAGCTTGGATGACTAACAGTAACTTTGGATTGAGGCTGAACTTTCTTTCAGTCACTGTACAAAGACAAACAAACTTAGACTTAGTAGGTTCTGGTTCATATACTAAAATATATTTCTACAATTCAGCTTTCCTTAAGCTGATTTTTTTTCCAAATGTGAGACTATAACTCCAATAATTATACTAAAAGATCGCTATCTGCTGTTCTGTGTCTCCCTTGGACACACTTGTTATCTCATTTCAGCAGTGTCTAAAATTATGGCTGACTATTTCCATGGGAACTTGGTACTCAGAAGAGTGGTCTTTAAAGGACCTGATTACACATGGAGTGGGCTAAACCCAATCTCCATTCCTTCCTTCCTTCCTTCCTTCCTTCCTTCCTTCCTTCCTTCCTTCCTTCCTTCCTTCCTCCCTCCCTCCCTCCCTCCCTCCAACAGCTTTTTTCTTCTCCCCACAGCAAACATCAGGGAGGTGACAAGTAGCCTTTCTTAGAGATTTGAATTTAATTAATTGCAAAAAGCATTAGAAACATGCATGAAATAAACCAATGGGTGCATGTGACTCTAAAGCCCCACATTTTACAACCCAGTCTTTGATAAAAATGTGAATGACCTTGCTTAAGTCACATAGGGGAAAAAAACCAAACAGTTCTGAAGAAGCTAGCATAATGAAAAGTAATGAGAAAAATTAAATCTGCATCATTTACTTCCAGTATATAATTGATTATTAATATCAGAAGCACATAAGCTTCAGAAAGGGCGAATAATTTCTCAGCACATTACACCACTTAATTAGAGAAAATAGGATGAAATAAAGAGAATGAGTTAATGTACTAAAAATTAAGCATTGCAGAGACCTGATGATGGCTTAAAATAATGCCACCTGGAAGCAGCCTTTTGGGCAGTGAAGGAGTGATGCTTACCTCATTTACAATTTCATCATCCCAAATTTTCCCATGGTGGCCCATCTTCACAGATGACTTGGCCAAAATTTAACAAGTGGGAGAAATAGCAGCATATGTTGGACACTTTGGGACTTAGTCCAATTCTGTGCATATTTAGTTCGAAGTATCTCTTTTCACTCCTTGGGAAGCCTGGAACATGCCTATTATTTTCTGTGGAATGCATCCAAGAGAGTTGTGAACATTTAGCATCTCACATCAAAATGCATTATGTAGGTCAGAAGTGTGTAACTTCTATTGGCTTGAAGACCAGATGGTGTTTTGGATGGCAAGTCAAGAGTCTCCCCCCTTCAAAGTAACCCCTTTTGTATTTTATTGTAGAATCGATTTATTATTTTTTTGTTTTTTAGTTGATTATGCTATTAGGGTTGTAATAGCACTGTTAAAAAAAAACCTTGTAGCACTGATGGGAGAAAAACAGATTGCACAGGGAGAGAGTGTGAGCTGTAGAGTAATATATAGAGAGAGATGCATTTTGAAGGTTGGAGGAAGGTTATAGGAGAAAAGTAAAAAAAGAAGACAGAGAAGCCATAGAGGAAAATGTAGTGAGGAAGGCAGGTTGAGAAGAATCATAGCTGATGGGGTATTGGGGAAGATATGCAAGGAAAGGAGTGCAAGAAATGCAGTCCAAATAGTACAAAGGAGGAAGAACAACCAGAGGCAAAAGACAACTATGGAGAAGATGAGAGGTCATGAACAAAAACCCACAGAGCACAATTTTTTCTCTGGTGTAAGTCATGCAAACGGATGAAGTATAAATGATGCAAAGAGGCTGGTTATTTGAAAAAAATTAATAACATACGGAATGGAAGAATTTGGAGGAATTCCATTTTGTAAGAACTCTCTGTCTAAATTCTCTGCAAGAAGAAGCTTTCATTGCTAATATTGATTTTAGTCAGCACTCTCATTCTTCTGGCTTTTGCATTACCAACAAGGCAATAAAAAAATCTTTATAAATAATAAATAAAAGTGGAGAGATTTTTCTTTATTACTGTAAGAATGACTCCGTTCTGAGATGCAGCAATTACGCAGTGCAGTGGGAAGTAAACAGAAGTAGGACGAGGCAAGAGGAAAAAAAAAGATGTGGGTTTTATCAATATCTTAAGTGTGTAAAAAATCAGCATGGGAGGTTTTACATGGCATAAAAAGGATGGACACCTACCGATGTCTCCGAGACCAAGTAATTTTAAGAGGCTAAATAGAAAAGACCAGGGTTTCATTTTGCTTTTGTTAAAATGTCAATCCTGATATGTTATGTTGACTTATGTATTTCCTATCCCCCCATCCACTGCCCCAAAGATTATTCAGAATTTTCTTCCCCTTGGTGAAGTTTTATGTTGTACAGTTTGTGAAGACTGCTAAAATTGATGCTGTTACATTTTCAAAGGTCACAATTGCCTCCCTAGGCCAGACATGTCAAACACAAGGCCCGGGGGCCAGATGCGACCCGTGAAATGGTTTCATGTGGCCCACGAAGCCATCCTGGAAACAGTGAGGGAACGGCCCCCGCTGCCTTGGCCCTGGCCAGCTGGGAGCCCATGTACAATTTTGTAGTGGCCATCTTGGCACTTGCCCCGGTGGACCATGCCTTGGCACTTGCCCCGGTCCCACTCCCTTCTGCCAGAGACCCTCAGATCTGTCCCACTCCTGCCCAGGCCCCCATAGGCACCCTTGACACGAATGATGTAGAACTGGCCATGCCCACCCAGTAGGCTGCAGCCACTCTGGCCACACCCACCCGCTCCCCCAGGGCAACCGCAATGCTGATGCAGCCCTCAGTGAAATTGAGTTTGACACCCCTGCCCTAGGCTACTCCTTGTATTAAAAACAAAAACAAAAACAGCCATCAGGTATGTAGCTGTATGATGTCTTGACCCACAGCAACTCTGGCATTTTTTTATAGTCTTGTGACTACATTGCCTCGGACTGAAACAATTTGGTGGCTGGCCAACATGGCTGTATTCCAACCAAAAATCTGGAGGCAGAGGTGGGAAAGAGAGAAGTACTACAATATTCACTAGGAAATGATAAAGATTTGGTAGGCTTTATTTTCTTTTAAAATTGAAAGTGTTCAAATGTCCAAGTGTTTGTCTCTCATACTTGTACCTTCAGGCTGTTCGCCCAGAACACTGGAAGATAGGCACTGTTTTATTTGTTTCTGAGCTGATGGATAAAATAATACTTTTATATATTATTTTGACATCATCATAACATTTATAAAAAGTAGAATCCTAGGTCGTAACCCTGTTGTTGGCTCTGATGAGAAGTCTGTTGTTCAGGGCTAAAATATATTCTAGGCAAGCTCTAGACCAGGTTGTATGAAGGGGAAACCTGACTGTGAAGATGTCCTTATGCCATGGTCAATGCTGCTAACATCGGATGTTCTTGCTTTGACACCTTATTAATCATTCAATTGATCAGTTGCTAATTAAGAAGAATTACCTGGGCAATCTACAGAATACAAATACAGGTTAAAAATTGCAATGCCCTTAACGCAACTGAAGCAATAGCAAGTTAAACAACTAGGAAATGAAAGCAAATCAGTTTAAAACTTTGCACGAATGATTTAATACTTATTGACTAAACTAGTGACATGCAATTAACTGCAAATAACTAAATATACTGGGAAAGAATATTAAATTACAAACTTGGCTAAATAAACATGGTAATCCCTGGGACATCCTAAAGTTTTAAAAACCTGGGCAAATCAAGTTGCGTAGTAAGGACATTTGACTTTGAGGAGGATATCCCAAGTCAGTGGTATATTTTTTGGAAAGGTCTGGAAGTTGAATCATGTCAACTGAACTTCTTTTCTTTTTGGTTTAAATGTTTTGCTGTTTGTCCAAGTAGTTTCTTCGGTCTTTAGAAACTTTCAGAAGTCCAGTTGTTATAACTCAACTTCCAGACACCTCTACCTTGATGACTGAAAATCTTCACCAGCATTATTGAAAAGGGGTATTTTCACTTATTTAAAGTCCAATTCGTTGAACAAGCTTTTCTTTATTCAACACGCTAAACCAAAACTAAACACGATACATTATAGTTGATTGATAGATATGAATCCTGACATTATATCCATATCCAGAAGATATTCAGCAGGCTAGCAATTACGCATTGACCTAAAAAATGACTATGATAATATCAGGCTGTCTAGATGTTACTTAAATTTTCAACAGCATCATCCAGTATTTCAAAGAGTAAGAAATTATGGAAATTGTAGTCCAGCAATATCTGGAAAGTCACTTAAAGATTGATAAGTTTCTCCAATGTTATTCTTAGCTAGGAATGATTACTTAATTGAGAAACTGAAATGGAAATCTGTCATTTTTGCTGTTAACTGCAGGAATGGATCGACCATAAATTGTGCTGGAATCCTGAAGATTATGGCGGTATCACTGCAATTCGGGTTCCATCTGAATCTCTCTGGCTCCCTGATATTGTTTTATTTGAAAAGTGAGTATAGGAATCCTAATTCAGTGAGGGGGTGCCAGCTGTCCTACTTTCTCAAAGATAATCCTCCATTTTAGAGGGATCTTTTATTTGAAGGGCTGTTCAGTCAGTCTCACGGCTAAAGTTGATGATACACAACAACCATAAGGACTTGCACAGCAACCTAAATATAAATCTGTGGGGATTTTGTTGTTGTTGTTTGTAGTGGTTTTCTATTTGTCCCTGAATTTCTTTGGCCTACTTGAAATTTACCTGAGAAAGTTTTCTCAAGCGCTATAGCCAGAGCCCATGCGCTTCAGCCTCACTTCCAAAAACATTCATGCAATTCTGGCTGTGTCAGCACTTTCTTGAAATATTTAAATATACTTCCTAATTAATATAAAAAATAATTTAAATTGATCAAAAGCAATGGATTAGACCACATATTTGGTTGACCGAGAAGGTATTTTCAGGTAACGTTGGTTGCTGTAATCCTTACAGTCCAAAGGTGATGAAAGTGGTCCAACCTTAGAAGGAAAGATCTGATCCCACAACATTCTTCCTAGGTGTCTTAGAGCCAGGTGGTCCTGTCTTATCTGAGCCCAGGGCAATGAAACGGATAAAGGCAAAAATATATTCCATGGGCATATCCTGGATCTTCAGGAACTGGGGGGGGAGGGAATAATGAATGTAATTTTCTTACTATTGAAGCCATCAAAACAAATTGAAGGCCATGCTTAAGATGTGAGGGTGGCGGCATGTACAGGGCACAGCTATAATAAAGGTTGTTTTTCATGTATATCTCCTTTCCTTCCTCATCTCACTCAGGATCGCTACCTGCTAGAATTAATTGATTAAATATTACAGGCATAATGTGAAGCATGATGACTGACAATCTAGTCTAAGGAAACCTAATTGTGGGACTTCTCCCAGGCTAGTAAGTCAAGAAAGCGTCCTCAAAAAACTTCACATTTGAATCTATGTTTTGCCGTAAAGAACAACTCTCCTAAATCTTTTTAAAGTTTTATTTCTGAGTTCTGGTTTGTAGGCAGGTAGTAACCTCCACAAATGTGAACTTACAAGAAATAGAATGCTTTCAAAACAAGGGGAAAGAACTGCGAATTGGGCTACCATTAAAACTGCAACAGGAAGCAAACCTGACACAGGAGGTTAAAAAAATAATTGGAACAAGCAGCATGATACGTAATTTAAGAACAGTTTTCTCCTCTATCCTTTCTAGTGCTGATGGGCGCTTTGAAGGTTCATTAATGACAAAAGCAATAATTAAGTACAATGGGATTGTAGTGTGGAGACCTCCAGCCAGTTATAAAAGTTCCTGCACGATGGATGTGACCTTCTTCCCATTTGACAGGCAGAATTGCTCCATGAAATTTGGATCATGGACCTATGATGGCAGCATGGTTGACCTGATCCTAGTGGACGAAAATGTGGATAGGACAGACTTTTTTGATAACGGGGAATGGGAAATCCTAAATGCTAAAGGAATGAAAGGAAACCGAAAAGACGGATTATATTCCTACCCATTCATCACCTATTCCTTTGTTTTAAGACGCCTTCCGCTGTTCTACACACTTTTCTTAATAATCCCATGCCTAGGACTATCTTTTTTAACCGTGCTTGTTTTTTATTTGCCTTCGGATGAGGGAGAGAAACTATCACTCTCGACCTCCGTTTTAGTTTCGCTGACGGTTTTTCTCCTGGTCATCGAAGAAATCATCCCCTCTTCCTCCAAAGTCATACCCCTGATTGGCGAATACTTGTTGTTCATCATGATTTTTGTCACACTGTCAATCATTGTGACAATTTTTGTGATTAACGTGCACCATCGCTCCTCGGCCACCTACCATCCCATGGCTCCCTGGGTGAGAAGACTTTTCCTTCAGAAACTGCCCAGACTGCTCTTCATGAAAGGACACGTAGATCGCTGTGCTTTCGCTGATCCCGAAGGAACTCTAAAACCAAAGCTGAGAAAGTATAAACACAAACAATTGAAAGATGGAGAAAAGGTGGTGGTTGCCTTCTTGGAAAAAACTGCCGATTCCATTAGATATATCTCCAGGCATGTCAAAAAGGAGCACTTCATTAGGCAGGTAAGTTAGGAAGCAAGAGTGGGCTGATGTCAATTTTTCATTTTCCTCATATCTCTTGATTCCCAAAGCATTGTCTTAGGCCTAAAGATATTTACCCATGTAATAGGCCAGTGATGGCGAACATTTTAGAGACCTAGTGCCCAAAAACTGGCCCCATCCCCGCTCCAACCCCTGCCCTGCCCCCACTCCGCCCTCATCCCGTCTGCCCACAGGGCCACTCACTGCCTCCAGGGCAGATCACCCAGCAGTGCAATGGCGGCCACACCTTCTGCCCGTGCCCTGCAGCATCAACTGTGCATGATGGGGCGTGAGGGCAGAGTCTTGTCTACTCAGTCTGGCTGCCATGTCCTTGGCTGAACTGCTCTGCGTGGGCCATGCTCGGGGGCGACTCTCCTCAAGGGGGCCTGCTGGTGAGGAGAGGGTCACGGGGGAGGCAAGGCTGGGGTAATGGCATGTATGCCCAGAGAGAGGGCTCTGAGTGCCGCCTCTGGCACTCATGCCATAGGTTCACCACCACTGTAATAGGTTGTATTGCTATTATCTTTCTCATCTTTCTCATCTTCTAATTTCGCATACTTTATCTTCTCAGTCCTACTACCTTCTCCTATTGGTATCTTATGATTTACCACTAGTGTTTGTGTCTTATGATTGATTGTAACTATCATTTTTGATCTATGACCTATCGCTTTGTTGTTTGTATGTACACTGAGAGTTTATGCATTGGAGACCAATTCCTTGTGTGTCCAGTCACACTTAGCCAATAAAGAATTTTATTCTATTCTTGTTCTAAGGTTACAGAAGAACTTAAGCCTGTATTTTTAAACCAATCATCAGGTCATAGCAAACCTGGAAAAAAGTAATCCTGAAAAAGCTCTTCTTACATTTGTAAATATAGAACACCTTGCAAAACTGAGCCAGGATTTTTCTAATCCAGCATTGGCCAAGTTTTAGATCAAGAAAAAGTAATCCCTGACCATTGGCAATGATGGCTGGGACTTGTAAAGTTTCAGACCCTGTCAACTTTCTTATCCTAGATAATCCACTAAAAATTGACTAGTGTTCAGCAAAGAAACATGTTTTACTTTCTGTTCACCTTGTGTAAAATTAAAAGAAATAATTGTGCTTGGCATTTTAAAAGAGAATGAAGTTAAAGTTGGAGATTGGTTAATGTTAGACTTAATTTTAGTCTGATACATGTATATACTTACTATAAATAATTAGCTCCCACCATAAATACATTCCAGGCTTCTGTATATATTTTCTGCTCTAACTGACAATACCACTTATCACTGTTAATCTGGGAAACAGAATTAGATAATTAATTTACCTAACTGATTAATTCTATTGGTTATGTAACATTCCCTAAATGTTTTGACTGTCACCTTATTTTTCTAGAGGATTTTTTTTAAGTTCTACTTCACAGAACATGAAAAGGATATAATGAATACAATTTCAGATCTACTTTTTAGTAGAAAATCAGTGGACTGCTAAGCCTAGAAATCTGTCTTCGCCATCGGGCTTGCTTTAGATGCCATTTCATGTTGCCCATTGAATGCCAATCATGTGGTCAGACCATAGTTAGGCAATTCCCACACCATAGTACAGTATAATACAGTTGCAAGCTGAGCCACACATTGGGGCCTGTAGGCACACAATGACAATAAGCAGGTTTCATCAGTGTCTAGACTGGACACTAGCCCAACCACCTTAACAGTGTTACCATGAGTTCCATCAATAGAGATAAGAAAAAATATTAAGAAACGAGCTATTTCTTGAGAATGAGCAGCTCACTAGTGATTACCTATAAGCAGATTTAATTTGCTTTTGGTTTGTCCATGTTGCAATCCTATATATATATGAGTGAAAGAGACAAGTGGGAACTTTTGGTTTATGCTGGGTCTGCTTAGTCAGCTGCATTGAAAAAAATAATTTTGCATAACTTTTATTTGAACCATGCCCAATTTTGCATAACTTTTATTTGAACCTTATCCCTTAAAGATAGTATCAATGTTTATTGAACAATAGGCTTACACCACAGTGAAGGTGACCTCCACCTAATGCCATGTATCCTTAGTGGTCTGCAGTGTGTTTCACAGGTTTATCAAGCATAAATTGATATGATGTAATGTAAACTTGACTCTGGGAATGAAGAGTTAAATGGCCATTAAAGCTGGGAGAGGTTCAAAACAGACCACTCAGTCCTAGGAAAGAAGAAAGTACAAGATAAAAACCCAGAATAATTATATCTGATTGTTTTTTTGGGGTGGGTGGGTGGTACTGTATAAGATATAGTAGACAGAAATTCTAACAGATTCTAAAAAAAAATCCTATAAAAATAAAGATCATTCCTAAAATCTCTGATTCCAGGCCTTGCATACTTCGAATGCTGAAAGTTGATGACTAAGTCCCAAGTATATTTTAAAGCATTACTTCAGTTGTATAAAATAAGCATTGAACTCACAATTCATTTTTCGCTTCTCCTAGGTAGTGCAAGACTGGAAGTTTGTAGCTCAGGTTCTTGACCGGATCTTCCTGTGGCTATTTTTGGTGGTGTCTGTGATCGGGTCTGTTCTTATATTTACTCCTGCTTTGGAGATGTGGTTTCACAGCGGTTTGTAGAAATAAAATCGGTTATGTAAGAATCACCTGGAGGAAGAAAAACAAAAGATCAAGAAACCTGGTTAGGTAACATTCAGTGTGCACAGAATCAAGAGGAATGTTACTGACACCAAACTATGCTGGGCAGATTCAGATCAAGTTTTAGATCAAATCTTTTAGCTACTAAGATCATGAAATGGGCATGGATTGCACAAATGACTACTTTCACCTTTATTTATTGTATTTATAGGCATTTATCTGTTTACCAAAATGCTATAGACAACAGATAAAAATATAAATATAAGAATATAAGAGTATTATGTACTGTATGTTCATCACCTTGAGCTATTTATAAAGTAATAAGGGCAGGATAAAATGAAATCTAATAAATAATAAATAAAAGCAATATTTCAGCATTAGAAACCTAGATTATTTCTTGTTTTAGTTTTCATGACAGATGTTGCATGTTGTTAAACTTTAGTTCTCATCAGCTCAAAGCAATGAGGATGAGAGTTATAGTTCAGTTTAAACTGAAACAGCTTTTCCCCAAATAATCTTTGGAATCTCAAAGAACATTCCATGAGTTGTTTCCTCATCCTTTATTGGAAGTTTTCCAAACTCTACTCTGACCTACCCTCTCCTTCGTGCTTCCAAAATTTGGGTACATGTGCAAAAAAAGGAGGGAAATTGATCTGTGACTGAATTTCCAGTTTCCCAGTAGACAGATGTAACTAAACACTTCATTTTAAAAAGTCCCCCATTTTTTTAAAAAAAGAGAAAATGCTAAATAGGTCCACAACAATCACGAGGAAAGATTTATATAACTAGATTTTCAATTTATTCAGCCATATCTAATAGTCAATTTTCAGAATTCACTTTCCAATATTACACTGACACCAACTCTCCTTGGAAAGGTGACAATTTATTGCACTGATTTTTTTTAAAAAAAGATATTTGTTCATAAGCTTTATAAAAAGTAAATGTTATAAGCACAGATTTTATATTTTCACACATTAGAGATATATAAAGCATTAATAAAAACTGAATGTATGCATATAAATGTGATGAGCAGCAATGTCCCAATACATTTGTTTTTGAAATGAACCTGAGGATATAATCTTTTTCCAGCAGAACCTGTTCAATTTTTGCCTTCTCGAAAGCATCATTTGTGCACCTCCTTGCTGTGGGAAGCGGGGAGGAAAAACAGATACTATTTAAATTACTGTAACAGGCTTTGCTTCTGCTCACTCTGCTAATACATTTTGTGAAGCTTACAGACCAGTGTTTCTCTATCTCAGCCACTTTAAGCTGTGTGGACTTCAACCTGCAAAATTTCCCAGCCCAATATGGCTGGCCAGGGAATTCTGGAAGTTAAAATCTACACAGCTTAAAGTTATTGAAGTTGAGAAGCACTGTTACAGATTATCAGTACTGCAGGATCCAATCTGGGTCAGTCACCAGGACCAGAGGTTTAGTCTTCCGAGCTTTCGGACTTGTGCTGGAGCCCATCCTCAGGGAATGTCTCTCTCTCTCTATTTCTGGTGAGAGAGAAGTTCCCTGAGGATGGGGTTCCTGCATGAGTCTGAAAGCTCAGAAGACTAAACCTCTGGTCCTGGTTGGATCCTGCAACATTATTCTGGGACACATATGTTTGCCTTCATTCATTATCAGTACTAACTGGTGCACATGTCAAAAACCCGGAAAGAAACATTAGCATCAATTGCTCCTCATATATGATTGACTTTATATCATCTAGCTAGAAGCCATGTACACCAGATATATACACCAGATTTTATCAACCAATCAATCAGAATAGAGCTGGAAGGGACCTTGGAGGTCTTCTAGTCCAACCCCCTGCTCAAGCAGGAGACCCTATACCATTTCAGACAGATAGTGTCCAGTCTTTTCTTAAAGACCTCTAGTGATGAAGCACCCACAACTTCTGAAGGCAAGCTGTTCCATTGGTCGATAGTTCTCACTGTTAGGAAATTTCTCCTTAATTCCAGGTTGCTTCTCTCCTTGATTAGTTTCCATCCATTGTTTCTTATCTTGCCTTCTGGTGCTTTGGAAAATAAGTTGACCCCCTCTTGTTTGTGGCAGCCCCTCAAATACTGTCATTTTAGCTCTGATACTTCCCCTGCATGATTAATAATGAGCAAATCTGCTTTGCTGGGATCAGCAACTAGGACTGTCAGACCATTCTAGTCTAAACATGATGATATCTCTATGTCTTTGCTGGAAAGATGCACAGTGGTCTTGCTTTTTTCAGTGAGGTGATTAGTATGCTGTAGGTGCCAGACTACAAATCAATAAGGATGCGTTATAGCAGAAAGCCCAAATGGACCTTGGGATTGGCCTGGCTGATACACAGTTACTATACTTTTTACTGGTTGAACTCCATGGTTTACATGAGTTAGCCAAGATTGGAATTCAAGAATGCTAATATGCTTAATTTAAAGTATTAAGTAGCACCCAGAGCAACCTTATCTATTTTCAAAGGAAAATAAGAGATGTTCACCAAGCAACTTTAAAGTAAATGATGATAAAAGTGCTGAAAAATTGACTGGTGTAGTGGAAGCTATTTGATATTGATATAAAGCTAGAAAAGGATTACATCTACGAGCATGTTCTTACAGGCATTTATATCTTGCTAGAATTAAGGTTGGAAATTTTTGCTTTCAAGAAAAGCTGAATATTTGACAAAGATCTGAAATGTCTCAGAGGGATTTAGTCTTTTTTCACTCTCTAAAAAATATTCTTGCACACGGACATATTCTATGACTAGAATCCTTATAATGGTTCGTGAACAGACCTAAGATGGATGCCTTTTAATCTTAAAATAATTACTGTCCAGATAATCTATATTGAAAGGCAGTGGGGAAAAAAGCAGGTATTTGGTATTCTCAAAATGAGAGAATTTATCCTTCTGTCAAAACAGCTTCTATTTACTTGTAGATTTTCAACGTCGACTTATAGCATATTTTTTGCAGATCAGCTTTCCTGCCTGTCATATGTTTTCCTTTCCTCATGTGTACCAAAGAAGATCCTCTTTGGATCCTAATAATGTCTCCTCCAAAAGTCTATGCCAGTACTAGGAGCAGTAGTCAATATGTGAAGAAGCTTCCAGAAGTTTATATCACTGTTCTTCTTTAAGTAAGAGCTGATTTTGTCCAAGAGCAAGGGCCCAAATCATGTACTGTCATAATTCAAATGCTAGCAGGCTTCAGATACAACCTATATTAGTTGAACTCAGTTTTGCCTTATTGTATTATATTCTCCCTGGAGCGTTGATGTTACACCTGCAAACTTCAGTTCTAGGCTTCTGCCATATGGTAACCACAACTGCAGTTCTTTGCTGGGTTTCAAGACAATGTTTACAAGTTTCAGGACTTCCTTGCACCTTGCACCTGAACAAAAATGGTAAGCTATTCCTATGGATTAGTTCATATGTGATGTGTTTACAAGCCTGAAGCTGCCTCCGTCAGTTCAGTTCATAAAGTCCATCTATGTGCAACCAGTGGGTGATACTATGGAAAATAATTGTGTTCTACATTGAGTCCTCATCTCCTAGCACAAGAAGTAAACCTATTTAGTGCAATGACTACAGTGCATCTATGTCTTGTATGTGAGCATAACACTGCTTTGAATGTTGTCAGCCAGTAGTGGCATGTCACAAGAGCGGCTCATGATTGTATATGTTATTAATGAAAGCAATATCAAATAAATAATCTAAAGACTGAGAATGTTGTTTGTGTATTAACAAAAAAAAAAAAAAACCAACAACAATGGGAAAGATGGAATAGCCTTCCACTGTAGGAAAAAAACCTGCAGAGCATAAATAAAGGCAGAGGTGGTTTAAATAGATACTTGCTACCAATGATATCAATATTTTTGCTCTCTGTTGTAAAGTAGCAGTGCAAGTAGGAATGGTATTAATTCATTCCCCTCCCCCCCTCTCTCTCATCTCTCTCTATGTGTGTGTGTTAGCTTCCATGCCATGCTTGTCTTCTGTTTTTGATTACAAGCAGTTTCACACAATACTTCAAATTTTACAGACCAGGAAGACAGCCAAGCAATTTCTTAGGAAATTGAAGAAATATTTTCTAGTCCCTCTGTTTTGAGGCTAGAAATATACAGCAAATAAACCACATCATTTAAAAAATAGTTAAGTATTAGCTTAAACTAATTACAACCTGCATGAAAACTTAGAAAATAATAGCAGTAGAATAAAACCTAGCAATTAATCCGGATCACAAATTAAATCGTAAGTACATATAATTCAGGAGTAGAGTGTGTGGGGAATCATCCCTCCAACGTTAAATCAACTTTGTGTTGGTGTTTAGTTTACTATCTATAATCCTAAGTAGTCATGTATCATTATTATCGTCATATCTATATCCATTGATTAGAACATTGCAATGTAAGCATTTCAGTGCATGGATGGGAAAATAAGTGGAAAATCTGCAGGAGGCAGAAAAATGGGTCAGAGGAAGGTCACAAAGGAATTATATGTAGAGACAGAGTCAGCTGTAAATTTGAAATTCAGAACTAGTAAGGAGACGCTGAGTTGCCAGGAAGGAAATAATTGTTAAACTAGGGTCTCTAAGAGCCTGTGATATGTCAGCTAAAAATTACAAAAGTCTTGTAATATAAATGGATGAGTTTCAGAAACAGCTTAGCTGACCAATACCAGGAAAGATTTTTGAGATGCTGGTGGATTGTTTAGTATTCAATTCCAGGGATCCTATAATATAGGAAGATCATTTTAGGGTACGTTCAATTAAACAAAATTGCATAATTTTTCACATTACGGTGAAAATAAAAATGCAGCATTTTTATTCAGCTTTAATTTTTGGTAGCACTGGAAAAGAAAGTTGCCCATATACATCTGGAAAAAGATTTATCTGAAAAGGTTGCTGCAATTCAATGAGGTTTACACATCTTGTATGCTATAACTATGAGTTTATTTAGTTTAACGTAATATACTTGCGGGAACTCAGCAAGTATGATAGTGGCTGTAGGAACCCAACCAATCTACTTGACAAATCACAATTAAACAAAAACTGGTTTAGGCACTGCAGACATTACAGAATAGATTGGTTTGACTCAGTATAAAGTAGTTTTCCTTTTATGGAATAATTATATACATACCTAACATTATTTAATAAATGGATATATGTCTGCAGGATAATAATAAAAAATGTCTGCAATGAAGAATGCCTGTGGGCAACAGCCTAGATAAGCAAATCACGAGGGCTTGATGAATTGGGATAATTTTTTACCTGCTTTTCCAGGAATTATTCAGTGGCTTAAATCATTTTATGAGCCATGTTTTTACACTCACACTTTAATAAGGCACAGAGCAAAAGTGCAGGGAAAAAAGAGCAGCTCTTGTTTCTTCCTGGCTAAAAGAAGAAGCAAGAAGTGTCAAGACCAATGGATGCCGTCAGAATGATACTGCTCTTCACGTTTTCAGTCCCAGAGCAATTTTTATTCCAGCTGTGGTTGAGGGCAAAACAAGATTCCCATCACTATTCTTTTTTCAGGTGGTCTAAGTGGCCATATTGGTCAGTTTCATTATTTTCTTTCTGGAAGGAGGGGAATAATTTCCCAATGGTTCTTGATCTCCTAGACAAGATCAAGGTATGCAGCCTTTCAGTTGTGTAATCTAAGGTCAGCTTTCAGATATGGTAGAATGTGACCCTATGAAAGCTAGATAATTGGCACAATTTTTGCATGGTTTGAATGGTCTCTTGTCCACTGTTTCTGCTTGGAGCAACATTATATATTTGAATACGCTTTTCCTAAAAGTTTAAATATAATACAACGTTTATGAAAAGTAATGCAGAAATGTGTTTAAGTATTACCGGATGTGTGTGGGTGTATCTGACATTACTGAAGTATACCTAGTTGAAATTTACTTTATGTCATGAAACTTTCAAGATTTTTCAGCATGCTTCTTGAGATAACAGTTGGTAGAAGTTTGTTGTTGATTTCTTTACTTCATTACTACCTACCATTTGGAACAGTTGGAAGGAAATTGAAGAAGACATAGTCAACAACAAGTCTGAATTCTTGTAGTAAAGCTTTCCCTAATGTAGACAGATTCAGAGAATTCCAATGAAAAAGGAGCCAGTCACAAGTGAGATACTCCAGCAAAGAAGGGTTAATTTAGAACAACAACAAAACATTAAGCTACAGGGAAATTCTTGTTTAGTATCTTAAATGTTTATGGGATTTTTTTTTTTAAAAAAATCTTCAGCTGTCAGCAGTAATTTAATTAAAAGATTAGGATCAATTAGCCTATAACATAATTTAATTTTATGCTAACAGCCTCATGCTACATTTTAATGCCAACAATTTTTAGGCCTCCTGAATAAATATGTAATTTATTCATGTATAAAAAGTGTAAATAAAATAAATGTATAAATAGAATGTGTAAATGGGGGTTTCAGAA